GAAGATAAAGAAGACTAAGAGGAAATGTAACGACCGTCCCCAAAACAGTCATTACGATACTCAAACATAAAAGAGACTCGATAAACCAAGATGAAATAAAGATACAAAACCTTACAAAGCAGAAGATTATTCCTATATATTTTAGTTGATGAAATGGTGACTTACAAAGCATTATTGCTTACGGGAATTCTATTCTCTATGTTAGCACATCATCACTTATAAAATAATCATTCTTTTGGTATGTTACACTTGTGCTATTCATTGTCATGTTGTCTCTCCACATGATTTTTTTTCTCTAAAGCCTAAGAGCAAGTCTTCATTTCTTTTAATAATCCACTAAAGTTTGACTTACCTATTATATCAAAAGAATCTCTTTTTAAAGTCTAAAATAGATGAGCTATTAAACTCCCCCCTCCCCCTTCTTTTTACCACTCAAGCATCTCAAAATTATCATTTTATTAAAAGAAAAACTTTTTTATGGTTCTGTACATCCCGAACCAAAACTACAGCTTCAATGATTAATATCCCAAAGTAGTCACGAAAGCTGATTCTAGTTTGGATTATAATTTCTTCCTTCCTTTTTTTTTTTAAAAAATTGAGCTTGAAAGGAACAACTATTCCTAATAAGATGACCACCAGTCTCCTTCAATCCTTGAAAACAACTTATTAATTGGAACTAATTGTGACACCCCCAAATTTCCCACCCAAAATAATACTTTGAAATAGAAATGAACTTTTATTTATTATTTAAACATTCGAATGTTTGCAGCGGAAATAAGTAAAATAAAGGAAAAGGGGTATGTCACCGCCACATCCAATCCGTGAATGATTGGATGTTAAGGCTGTCTACCAAAACATGAGATTAAATAAAAATCAAGATGTTCGAATCATAAGTAAATATTAAAGTTTATTCTAGTGAACTACGATAAGGTCATCTAGTTCGCGCTCTCAAACATTTCAGCATCAAAATCAACATGATCACCTCCTGTTAGAAACGAGCAAAAGAAAATAAAAAGAAAACAAACATTAGCAATAATGCTAAGTAAGTTCCACCTAACCTTTTTAAAATAATAATAAATAATATATATATAAATTCGTACAACCTCATAAAACATTTTTCAAAACACTTTATAAATTATAAGTAAATGATATCTATACAAAATCCCAACCACAACATTTGCAAATACCATAAAAATTCCAAAATACATGAGACACCAAGATTCTCCTCTTTTGAATTTCTCCCAAAAATCACTTTGTAACTAACTTCCTAGTACTTTAGAAGGGCGGTGCTCAATACTTTGGTTGAGCCCGGTGGTCCGTTGTTATGTACGGCCACCCCGGGACTATTGCCGGTACCACAACTGCTCAATGGAAACGGAAACAACTACCTTAAGTGTGCACACCCCCTAAAGGTATTCCAAGCCCTCCGGGTTAGTAAGTTGATCCGGGTAGCCAGGATGTTTTCTACCAACTACCCCACCTCAAAAACTGAATGATTAGGAGCTACTACTACCACTACTACTCAAAAACCGTGATGTTTTCTACCGACCATCAATCCACCTCAAACCAATACCAACAAGAATTGAGTAGTAGTAGACCTAACCACCCTCCACATTTTAAGGGACGTGGAAAACCGACACCACGGATTTCTCCCGTGATTCCCACTCTTTATGAAAATATTTATTTTTCTTTGCTTACTCAAAATCAATCGAAGTTTATACTTCAGAAATTTCCTTTTTATCAAACTCCCACAAAGATAACAAATTACGTACTATTACAAAATCTCCCAAAATTGTATACAATAACTCATATTAACAAACCAATATATCAACTAATATCCCAAATACAACCCTTTCATATCATAATATTCAATCAAATTCAGCACACATAAATTCAATTCTCAAATATGCACACAAAAATATTCAAAGAACTAATTTCAGTTGACGTGAAACTTACCTCGAACTCCAAATACTTTTAGTTAGGTCTCCTACTTTGCCCCTCACGCCAGTCACCTTCTATTAAAATTTACAAATCAATATCTACCCAACTTATAGTTAAATCCCTTTTTATTCTTTATTCCTATATTTCGCTATTCCTCAAATATTAGTAATTTAAACACATCGTAATTGATATAATTTGAATATTATTTAGTTTAATCAACTTAACCGGTATAGCAGTAGTTAGTTTATTCCGATTGAAGTTCGCACTTATTTCTTTTATTCAATTCCCCAAATAATTGATAATGCACTAGCTACTAATACTGTTAATTATAATTTATTCTAAGTCGAATCACTATTTAGGTGATTAATTAGACAAGAGTTAGACAGGAGTTGCGTGATTCACTAATAATCATTAAATTAAGCTTACTATATACTATCTATCTCTGACATATGCCAATTATGTTGATGGAGTATATGGCCCAGGAACCCCCGGCCCATAGACTCCTACTTCTCCTACACAAGTCCATTGAGCCCGGGAAACAACTCAGGCCCAAATACAACGGCCCAAGCCTCAAAGTAGCTCAGAATACACACTGGGATGCCTTCGGCCTCCTTGGCCGAAGGCTCTAGAACTCACAGGATGGCCTTTTTGGCATAAGAAGCTGCTGGGAGAAAACAGGCGAAAACATGAGCCTTCGGCATTGTCATGCCCTCGGCATCAGATAAGCCTTCGGCTGAACCAAGCCTTCGGCCACACGGGGCCTTCGGCCACACGGGGCCTTCGGCCACACAAGGGTCCTTGCCACAGGGAACCCTCGGCTACACAAGGAGCCCTCGGCTACGCAAGGAGCCTTCGGCTGAACTAGCTCAATCATCGAAGATTCCTTTTGGAGACAGCCAACCACCGCATTTAATGCCACGTCACATCCGCCAACCGCATTCAATGCGGTAAACGTACCACTGCCGGTGCCAACCGGTTGATGTGACCCTTCGGCCGTTGGATTACTGACACGTGTCCTCTCATCGCATTTATTGCTGCTATAAATAGCAGCCCATTTCTCCTTGTAAATCATCTACATTATCTCATCTACACACGCTGAGTTCATTTAATAAAATCGACTCTCTCTCCTCCTATTTGCTCTGACTTCTCTCTAAGTTATTCCCACAATAACCCCTCGGATAAGATACCCCCTGGGTAGATTGTCCATCATATGTTATATTACTATTTTAGTTTATAATACAGTAATCATCCAAGTATTCATATTAACGTGTAATATTTACTAATTAATGTTTGATCAATTCATTACACGGTCCAACATTCGTACTTTAGTTTAATCAGCCCATTCTTCAGGATTTCAATTTTAACTTTCGGGTTTATTTTACTAATTCCTTATTAGAGTTAATATAGTTTCCTCATATGATTGTTCCAATCGGATTCTTATTTATATAAAGTCCAGTTATTTTCAATTAAACAGTCCGGTCAAACAATGTACTTCATATGAAATAAACTACCCAACAAGACGATCTAGGTCACTAGGTGTGGTGTATGATGTAGGTTCGTAATCGTGGTCTTCTTTACGTAAGAACGCAGGGGTCGACGCATACCTCAAAGACGACTGACGTACGTATGACAAGGTGGTAGCGGGCGGCGGTGGTAGCGGCGAATCTCCGACGGTCCACTTTACGAACTCTTCCCCCGACGGTGGTTCACTCAATATTCTCCTTACTCAAGGTCTCGAGTCTTACACTCCAACGTTTCCTTTCTCTCGCACTCTTCCTTTTCTTTATTTTTCTGTCTCGTTCTTTTATTTTGGGTGCCGCCTAAATCTCGATCGGAGTGATGCTATTTATATGAGCAGGCCGAAGGTTCTAGGTCAAGAGATTGTAAGGAAACGGATCTATGGCATTTACTACATTTCCTTCGCTGGCTTTAGCGCATGCGTTATACGCAGAGAATTCGGCAATAAACGGACCGAATTATATTCCTACGTCCGCATTAGTATTGCTATGTATGTTGTGTATGTACGTAACATGGCATGTGTGTGTTATATGTCCATATATGTACTCATATGTATTACTAATAGTAAAGTTGTAAAGTCATCATTAGTAGTGTATTACACGTATTACTATATATTACACATATTACTAATATGTATACGTGTAAGTGTATTACTAAAAGTCATCATCCACTTAATTACTATTCTTGTAGAGTTGTAGTGTGCATAGTTTTAATAACCGTACACTTGGTATAGTTTTCTAATTGATCATATACTAAAACGTGTCACTTTAATTATTTAAGTAAGATTTAATATGACTAGCATAATTCTCATAACAGTATCATTTTTAGCTATTTATTTCTATATACTACTGTTTATCTATTTTATTTTATTAAAATCTTTGGAGTGTCACACTAATAGTCTTAATATCCAGAGGGAAAAAATCTTCTTGTGGATAATAAGTCTTTTGTGAATAAGTTATATTATAAGTTTAGTAACTAAATCTTCTAGGACTCCCTCTAGAAAATCAGTATATAGGTTAATTAATATTAAAATGTCAACATTAAAAGGAATTGTTTGCTTAGTTTCAAATTTTCATGTTTTGTAAATACAAGACATCATAAATGATCTATTTAACAAAATTTGACATCGTCATACCCATAATTGTCTGACACGAAAATATCTGAAAACAAACAGTCAAGACGAAGTGGTGAACGATCACTAAGTCTGTAACTTTATACTAATTTCAATTTTTTACCCTTTTCTATAATGTTTTGGAGACTTATTATCTCTTTGCTTCCTCAATTAGTGGTAGGATGATTAGAAAACAAAATGTTATGGACATTTTTATTTATTAAACCCTTCAACCCTTCACTAATCAAAATGTGTTATATTCTAACATGTATTCTATAAGAGACAAAATTAATAGTTTAATCATAACAAAATGCTGTGGAAGTATTGTTTGTTCATAGTGTTAAAGTTTATGTAGTCTTCTAAAAATAAGGAAGTAAAAAAGTAACACATAATTCCATAGAAAGTGAAAATGATGACCCGTTAAATCATCTGGTAATAAATTATATGGGGTTGTATATAAGACTAACTTAGACTAAACAAAGAAGCATAAATTCTAACTCGGAATCCTTTTTTTTCACACAGCCTCTTTATTATGCTCTTTAGATATCAATTGCAAATAATAAATTGTTCAAGAAATCTACACGATATCTTTCAAAAGAATATCTAACATCATAGCTGGGACCTTCTTACCGGTTTCATATTCTTAACTCAACTAATACTATTTTACTTAATCAAAAGTCGCATAGTACAACTTACCCAACTTTTCGGGTTTAAGCCTTTGATTTGTTGACGACATTCAACATAAAAATATTTTGTAGTGCCCAACTCTTACACTCTTTATTCCCACCAATACTTCTATTACTCAAAACACACTTTAAAACTTATTTAAAAAAAATATGCATTTGCATGACCACATACTTTTCAATAAGATTATCATTGATCATATATTCACTACCAAAAATACACGGGATTGACATGGATTTTGGCAGAGATTATGCCAAATCCGTGCCAAAAAACTTTGGTACGAGCTATTTGGCACGAAAAATCGGTAATCCGTGCCAAATTTCCTTGCCAATCCCGTGTTTTTGTGATTAAAGTCGTGTTTGACCACCGGTATCTAATATTTGAATAATCAAATTTATGAGGGGCGCTCCCAGCAACACAAAATTACAAGCATGAAATACCGACACTCAACACTCTAGAACAAATATCATGCAACTTAAGATAATGTTTTATTCAAATCCACTATTTAAGAACATTTGAAAGTCAAGTTTGTGATGTAAAACACAGATGAAAGTCAAACTCAAATTGCATTTGATAATAATTTTAGCGGTAGAAGATAGTGATATAAACCATCATACATATATGTAAAAGTAAATAGAAATATTTTAGTTACTACGCTCTCATGCATTGTTATGATGAAGATACTAATAGTATTAGTCTTTATAATGAAGCCACAAGTAGACATCCTTCAAAAATATTATTTAGTAAATCAAGGTTTCATCTCAGCCTTGATAGCCTCAACTAAGTGGTCATATGCCACGCCCCATGCATCACTCATTTCTGCAGACCACATTTCTGGTATGGCAGTTTTTATGGTTTCCAGTAATGCATACCTAGTCACCTGCATATGATATACACAAAATGATAAACAACAATTTACATTTTTTTTACATATTAAATCTGATTCGGGAGATAATAGAAATGTATATGAAATTAGATCACAAACAACTCATATGTGTGACGAGTATATCTAGAAAAAACTTATAAATTGTTTGAATATACAACAATTTTAATTTCAATGAAACACATTAATTTACAGCTTACAATCAACTATTGTCTCTATATAAAAATATATATGGAGACCCCCAAATCATTCACGTAAGTAATTATTGTTTGTGAACCAGCACAAATTTGCTCAACCACGTGCATTTCTAAATTTTCTACATCATATTCATAGTCATTTTGCTACAATAGTATTTTGAAATAGCTCAATGCCTTTTGGTCAAACATTATTCAATAGAAAGTAGGCTTGTACATTAGGTCAAACATTATTTTTGTAAGTTTTGGGGGTCTCTACAGGATTTTAGAATTTCATGACAATCTAGTTATCACCAAAATAAATTATTGAAGATTCCTTTAAATTCTATGAACTCTATGATCCAACATTTACATGGAATTGAATATCTAAATAACACCAATCTATTATCCCACTCATTATCATCCACAACCCTTCAAAATCTGGCACCGTCTTATTTAACATTTGCTCATCATTCCGGAACTACATGATTATTTTTCCATCAAATATACTTTTCCACTCTTTTTTAATTCAATACAGTACTTATTTGAATAAAAAGATGTTCATTACTTTTGTGTTTGTAAAAAGCATTTTGTCTTAGTGCAATGCATAATTTATCATTTTATTTTAGACATACTAGAAGGTAGAAACACGATATATGCAATATATAATGCACGAATTAGTAGGAAAGCATAAATTACATGTAGATGTTTTCTTTTGGATTGTTTTCAGTCCCAGACCAGACCAGATTAGACTAGACTTGACTTCCGTAATTATAAAATACATAGAGACTAGGTGTTTACCAGACCAGATCAGACCAGACCAGAAAATTTCAGTTTAAAAGAAAACATCCTAAAACGCATTTAGAGAAACATTCTTGTAAACATTACCTCAAAATGTGCATCCACAATGCCATACTTGAAATGAGTGTCCCCTAACCTTCTTAAGGTGGATTCCCTTACCACTACTTTTCCCTCTTTTCTCAGCTTCACCGCTGCTTCACATGTCTACATTCACGCACACACCATATATATTAAAGTCAGGATTAAATAAACATAGTTAATAAAATGTTAAACATGAATACTATTAAAATGTATGATTACTTAAATAATTGATTCAAGTAATACACAATATACCTCTGTAATTAAGGCTTAAATATATAAGTTGTGATTAAAAGGCACACATTGTTTTACACTTAAATAAATATATTGTACCATAACGAAGACAGTTTTGGCGTGGGCTTTAAGTTTTGCATTTTGATCTAGTGGGACATCTCCGGCATCCCTCAGAAAAGAGAACAACTCCTTAGTTGATGGTGCAATTTCAAATATCCTGAAAAGCACCAAAAATATTATAGAATGATTTCATATCTTAAGTAAACTATTTTCAGCGTATTAACTAAAATTTTATCAAACACTTATATTTTGACTTTCGTTCTAAAAAAAGTATGGATACTTATCTAAATTAAATTTGACGAACTTTTTATTACTCTACTTTCACAACTTTTTGTTGGATTCTCGTATAGTTTCTTGCCTTTTTAGGTTAGCACGCTAAAACAACAACATTCTACTTAATATTCTTAAAACTTTTGACTAATCCAATTGTAATGACATCTATTGTAAAGCTAACAGCAATCCAATCCCGTCCATTAATCAAACCCGCGGCCCCTCATCGGTTTATATGATAACTTGATATTTACTCAATCAATTCATTTGCTTCTATAAAAATTGCAACATTGAGATTTTTGCACTATTCACATATCTTACTTTGATTACGATTTTTTATTAGTATTTATAATAAAATTATTATTTGTAAAATGTTATTAAATTTCTATTTATGTAAAATGCCGAAAATATTAAATGTTTTTAATGTTCACAAATACGTTATTATATATAATTACGGTCAAAGTTATTCGTTGGCAAATGTGACCGTCAAAGTATTACAATTTTTAAAGAAGGGAGAATAGTATATCCAATATTGGTGACCTATGATTATAAAAAGTTATAAATTACTCCGTATCACTTCCAAGAAAATTGGGGTTTCAAACTTTCAAACTTTTCTCAAGAAAAGTAAAGATGTTTAGATTGTTTTGTAATGTCTTCATTTAGAAAATAGAAAATGAAGCCAGAAATTATAAGAAACAGGGCCGCATTGGGTCTGCCCAGATGGCCCACTAGTTTGCTGCAAGGTTTGGATTCATGGGCCGACAAGCAGATTGCTACGTGAATTATTTTGGGCTGGTAATGATGGCTACCCCGAGATGCGAGCTTGACTTTTGTTCTACTACGTACTACTCCGTATTTGGCTAAGATTTTTATTTTTATTGCTATTAGGATAAATAAAATGGAGAAATAATGGTTGATACAAATCAGAAAAAAAAGATGAAATAATGTTAGGAGGGAATATGTGTTATTTCAGTGCGATTTCATGTAAAAAATGAAGTGAGATAGATACTATAAGAACTTAGAAAAGAAAAAAGAATAGTATTAGGAGGTTCTTAATTAGATTATTTTTAGTCCCAAACCAGATCAGACCAGACTTGAACAACTATAAAATACACTGAACTAGACTTTACCAGACTAGATCAGACTAGACCAGATCAATTCAGATCAGATCAATTCAGATCAGATCAATTCAGACCAGACCAACAAATTTCAGGTCTAAGTAAAAACATCCTTACGAAAAGATGGATAGAGTGTACTTATTACTTCAAGAACAATTTGAGACTCCAATCTCCGGCGTCCTTCTTCATTGATTCCCAAGACTTGACCACCAAAGCTTCCTGCTCTTCTGTGAAACTCATGCTGTTCTTCTCTGTTAATTCTTAGCTATGGAATATGTGTATAAATTGTTGCTGTATTGAAGAGAAATTAGATGTGATCTGATGTATATATACAACACAAAAAAGGTGAGATACAGTGCTGACCCCCATGCCTCTTGGTGTGCTTGGAGAGCCAAATGATGCTTTGACCCATCCAATGCAATTTGTAATTACACCGACAACACCTTAATTTAATTTGTATATATAAAATAAATTCCAAGTTTAATATGCTTAATCATTATCAAGTTCACATATCTATGATATCCAATTTCTTTCATTAAAAAATCGAACTCATCAATTTAAATAATCGTACTTTGCCTTCACGATCTTTCAAAGTATATAAGGTATGCCGACATTTAGTTTTTATTTATTTGTTTTTTCAATATTTTTTTACCCAGGGGGCATCGGGTTAGGGAAGTTTGGAGTCTGGGATAAACTGAAATCAATCTTGCTTTATTGAGAATTGAAACTGCAACCTCCTATAAGGAAGAGTGAGTCGGCGACCAGTTGGGCTAGACCGCTTCCTCACCAACATTTAGTTAAACTGGTATTTAATTAAGAAATAGTCATATAATTTTAATTAAAATAAAGATTGTAAATATATGATATTTAAGTGTAGTGACTAGTGACTATGGTGGTGGCGGTCTGTAGGGGGTGCCTCGGGTCTCACATCATTTGTTTGCTGATGACAATTTTCTATTTTTCAGAGCTACTACTGAGGAGGCGGGTGTTGTTTAAAATATTTTATCTGTTTATGAGGAGAATTTAGGACAAACAGTGAATTATGTGAAGTCTTCTTTGTCTTTTAGCCAGAATATTGGGGAGCAGCAATTTAAAGGAGCCTGCTGCAGTATTTTTGGGATTCCGATGGTAGGTGGTCAAAGCAGATATATATATATCGGTCTACCAACACTGGTGGGTAGGAATAAATCTGCTATCCTAGGCTACCTAAAAAATAAAATTTTTAACAGAATAAAGAACCGGAATAATAGATTTTTATCCAGGGCAGGTAGAGCGGTTCTGTTAAAAAATGTGATTCGGGCTATGCCTAACTATGCCATGAATGTTTTTTGCTGCCAAATAATTTATGTGATAAAATTGAGAAATTAATGAATGACTTTTGGTGGAGGGGCACTAAATTTGAGTAGAAGGGGCTGAGGTGGAGACGATGGGAGACCCCCTGTAAGCTGAGAAATTTGGGGGGTCTAGGCTTTTGAAGAATAAGAGATTTTAATTTGACAATGTTAGCTAAGCAGGGTTGGAAGTTAGTGACGGAGCCATCCAATCTGATGTGCAGAGTGCTGAAGGCTAGGTATTTTCCGAACTCAGATTTTTTGCATGCTCAGGTTGGGAATAACCCTTCTTTCATTTGGCGTAGTATTTTTGAGACACAAAATATTCTCAAAAATAATATCCGAAGGAGAGTTGGAAATGGGATCGATGTCCAGGTGTGGTCCGATGCTTGGCTCCCTGGAGAGGGGGCAGGACATGTTACATCTGCCAGACCGACAGGAATTAGATACATGAATGTTGCAGCTCTGCGCGACATCACAGGGAAAAAGTGGAACAGAGAGAGAATTACTAATGTTTTTAATGCATAAGATAGGTGGAAGATTTTGAGCATCCCTATTAACTCTTATGACAGGAAGGATAGTGACGTGCACTTTGTCGTGTGTGCACTCAAAATAAATCGATACTAACACTTATACGTAGTATATGTGAAGTAGAGTTCGTATTCACAGGGAAATGAATAATTTATCTTTTTAACGAAAGGAGTAAATAAAGGGGGGTTTTGGGTTGAATGATTTGATTAAATTTAACACAAAGATGAACGACTTATATGAGATTAAATTGAGGAATAAAAGAGACTTGGTCTTGCTACTTTCCACTTGTTGATATATTTTAGTCGATCATTGTTATATCTATAACTTATCTCCTCTCGAATACTCAATCGAGGAGTATATCCAATTCATCGAGGATAGTTATTAACAACGACCGTTCATTAATAACCCTTACTATTAGTCGAGTATAGAACAACGCCATATACCGACTTGATAGTAGCATTTAATCTTTTAACTCCTTGATGAAATCAATTGAGATTGATAACCTCAACACAACGGTTTCGGTTTAACCAAAAAAATTAATTCCTCTTAAGTTTATTAACCACGACTGTGCATTAATAAACCGAAGTTACTTACTTGTGAAACCATCAACGATTAACCATCGGTTCGTTGATCGTTTCTAGTAATAATCAATGTCGGAACGTTAACTAATCGTCACTTAGCCACCCTCCAACATTAATACAGAATGAGATTAAGGGAAGAATTAATATCAAGAGGAGAAAGTAAGAAAATAACTCACAACTTTAATAATCAACAAGCTTCAAGAGAAAAATCAAGAAATGGAAGTTTAGCTCCTCATTTGGAGACTAAACATGCTAGAAGAAATATAAAAAAATGCTATTCCAAACTGATCTTAAGAGTATAAACGAATTGGTATCTAATTGTGAAGGAAAGAGGGTGTATTTATAGGCTTTTTGGGAGTGCAGCTCGGGTACTCAATCGAGTATACACAGATGCTCGATCGAGTATGTGTAGAAATTTGAATTCGATCCATACTCGATCGAGATTAGAGTAAAAGTTATAGCTATACCCGATCGAGTATGTCGGTGTACCCGATCGGGTATAGACATTCGATCGTGTTCCTTTGTTTTCGGATCCGATCCGATTTGAAATTTCAGCAAGACACCCGATCGAGTATAGGTGATACTCGACCGAGTATAGACCAAAAATCAGGATCTTTCCATTTGTCTTGTGATTTTGCACCTTCCTTCCACTTTTGGGGTTCACCAACTGTCCTTTGAGTGATAGTAGACATGTTTGAGCTCAAAATAAACCTAATCTAAACAATTTACAAGAATTTAACAAACTAAACTATTACACCAAAAGTGTGTAATTTCCAAAGTGAAAATAAATCAAAACTACTTAAAATCACAAACATAAACATGGAAATTACATGATTATCAGATGGGTATTGGTGGAATGGGGAGAACAACAATATTTTTTCTGTAAAGAGCTGCTGCCGCTTACTTACAGGGGAATTGCAGACCGGGAATGGAACTAACTGGGCTTGGCTACGGGATTTGCATATCCCACCGAAGCTTAAATATTTTGCTTGGTCGTAGGTTATTGATGGCTCTCTCCCTACAGTTGATAATTTGAGGAAAAAAGGAGTGCGGGTCCTTGAAGGGCGTAAAGTGTGCGGAGATGATAGTGAAACGATAGATCATGTGTTTCTGTTATGTGAACGAGCTAAAGAGGTCTGGAGGCAGGTAGGTGTTGATCTGGCAGCCCGACGGACTCTATGAATACATGGATTTAGCAGCACCTAGGTGGACCGAATGAGGAAGATCAATGAAGATTCATTGCTATTTTGTGGAGCCTATGGAATAGGAGGAATGGATGTCTCTGGAAGGATAGAAGGCAAGGGGCTGCGAGGGTAATTAATGCGGCAACAGGAATAATATTGAGCTGGAGAGATGCGCAAGGCACTCGACGAACAGAGCAAGCAAGGAAAGAAACTAGTTCCTTGACAGCTTGGAAACGACCGCAGGATGGCTATGTTAAGATAAATGTGGATGGGGCAGTGGACGAAAATAAAAATATTCGGGCCTGGGGTGGGTTGCATGAGACCACCATGGAAACTTTTTAAAGGCGAAAGGGGTCTCAGAACTAGCTAGTTGGTCGGTAATGGAAACAGAGGCGATGGGCGTTCGTGATGCTTTGATCGGGGCGGCCGAAGCAGGATGGTCACACATGGAGATTGAGACTGATGGTCTCTCGGTGGTCCAGAGTCTAAAAATGGGGGAGGATCTTCTTACCTTTTCCTTATTCTTGATGATATTGGAAATACGTTGAAAGATAAGAGTAATTTTATTGTCTCTTTTTGTAAGCGATCTACGCATCATGTTGCACATGTGTCTATTTCAGATCAATCTTGTTGTTATGATGTTATTCCTGACACTATTGTAAGCCTTCTGGCATATGATTTGATGAATTAATATATCGGTCAGTTGGAGATAAAAAAAAAGTGTAGTGACTATGGTAGTGATTATAGTTATAATAATCTGTGTTCAGTTTTTGCATTTAAATAATCATGACATTGAATTACATTTTTAAAATAATCTCTATTTTAGTACTTTATTCGTCCATAAAACTTGACCAAATTTAATGTCAAGTACTAAAAGTGTCATTGATATAAGGAAAAATTGTCGTATCAACTCTCGAAGTATACCAAAAAAGTCAATTAGACCCTCCAACTAAAGAAACACCCAATTAAATCCTTGAATAATACAAAAAAACCAATTTTCTAATCTACCCAGTTGCTTCATGATTAGCCGGTGACATTACTAATATGGCAGCCAACATGGCACATTTTTATTATTTATCCTTTTTATTTTATTTTTTTGTTTTTCCCCCAATTTTCTTTTTCACGATCACAAGTCCACAAACCTCCTCCTCCTCCTCCTCCTCCTCCTTCTTCTTCATCTGCTTTGAGGGGCGGACCAAGGAATTTCATCTTGAGGGGTTCAAAATATTTTTTGTGGAGTGAAAATTATTCTTTGAGGGGGCAAAAATTATTTTTCGTATATATATACACTAAAAAAGTTGTTGGGGTAGCCCCGGGTCTCTATTACCGCCCCCCCTCTCTGTTTCAGCCCCACCCCTCCGGTACTACTCCCCTTTCTTTATTGGTCTTCTTCAGTTAAGTCAAGCCCACCCCGTTCACACTTTCTTCTTCTTCTTCACCCCACCTGACCCCACCCACCCCACCCTTCTTTACCCTTTGAGCCAACCCCACTTTCCCGTTCCCTTATTTCTTCTTTTTCATTACGCTGCCGGAGCATTTCTTATCCGGCGGTGCCAGTAATTCTCAAAACTTGAATAATCCGGCGCTGAAGATGAAGGTCGCAACAACAACATTGCCGGAGGAGGCTGAAGAGCTTGCCGCCCAAACAGTCCGCCTTGCCATCTCTGGTTTTTGGTTCCCTTGATTACCAGTGTTGTTCATTTGGAAAAAGAAGAACGAAAATGAGCAACAAAGTGCGATTGGAAGAAGAAAGAACAGTAAAGAAGGTGTGTGTGCATAGTGCACAGAGAATAAGACGGGAAAAGAAACGGTAAGGAGAAGGAAAGATGGGGGTGGGGAAGAAGAAAGGAGGTGAGCTTGGAAGAAAGAAAAGCGTGAAAGAGAGGGAAAAAGAATGAAAAAAGGGGAAAAGATAAAAATTGACACACACAACCGCATCAGCGAAGTTACCAGTTAATCGGGTATCAATGTTTAATTTTGAAAGTTGATTGTTATTACAAAGTTCACGGATTTAATTGGGTGTTTCTTTAGTTGAACGGCCTAATTGAATTTTTTGGTATGCTTCAAGGGTCAACGTGTTATGTCAAGCTACACTTAAAACTTTGGTTTATAAGTATGGGATGTGAATGCGATGCTAAGTTAGAATGAAACGCTGAAAAGATTAGTTGCCCCATAAGGTGAGTTTTTTCTCGCAGTGGGTAGTTTCCAATCTTATTTCTCATACTAGTTCTGTAACGCGCGATGCGCGAGGGAAAATGCCCAATGTTATTTTTAACAAGATTAACATAATGTGAATGTTAATGATTAATATATTTAATTAAGTTCTGTGAAATTGCACACAAGATTAGTTTTATGCATATTTTCCCACATAACAGATGATTAAAAAGGGGCGTGAGCATCTCTTTTCCTGTAAGCATGACAAGGATTGGAACGCCTATAAGAATGTAATATCAATAATGTGGTAATAAGCAATCTAAGAAAGGGTGGGCAGGATGATTAGGTTTATAGGGCCTAGCTAGAACATGTACGTCATTTTGATGTTTGAATCCAATAACACTAAACATCTAAAGCACGATATCGACAGTGGATGAGCTAGGGACCATGGGGGGTACCCGCCCCCGCTTCAGGCAAAAAACAATTCTTACTTTCCTTTTTTGTTCTTAAAGAAAAAATCTCCCAATTTCTAAATCTTGTCATCATACCCTCAATAATTTTGAAAATAAAACACTATTACAACTACTTTTTTGGATTTGTCATTCATTCTATCACATTATTCCACTATTTTCCCATAATACTCTCAATAATTTATATTCTCACTATTCTTAATCTACCTACTTTTGAAATAGTACAATTTTTAAATATGTATAAAAATAAAAACAAGCACTAAAAATAAGATGAATAATTAAATTAGAAATGACAAATTAAAATAATTACAATAGAATAATGATTTTCGAAATTCTTGCATAAGGTAACATACATAATAAAAAATAAAAATAAAAAAACAATTAGAACATTAAATGGAAATCAAATCAATCTAAGTGCATAGAATAATTAAACGGAAACTCAAAAGTATGTGTTGGAAACGTTGGAGTTAACGGAGTTAAGGGGAAGATTTAAATTTAATGATGAATGATACAATGACTAAAAAAATTTGTACAAGTGTAAATTGCTTTAGTGTTACACCAACACTTTTATCATTTCTAAAATGCCCTTACCATCACTAGTGCTTATAAATTTTTAGATAATAAGTTACTTTCAAACTTATTTCCGGAATAAAAGTATTTCTTCCCTGTCATCACGCCACATCAGCAAAATCAGTTTCCACGTCATTTCCCTGCCCATCACCAAGTCCATGTCATAGCATTACATGTACTACTATAATATAAAAACATTAAAGAAAATGAGGTGGGAATCGAACCCAAGCATATGCATTAAATTCGTAGGTACACACCACAGCACAACTACTCTCCGTTGTTACACTTTGGTATTAAGTTATATCTTTATTCTCCATACCATTTGTATTATCGATAGTTCAATACAATGATGATGATATTGATAATAATAATAATAATATTCTGTTATCGTAATAATATTAATAACAACAACAACAAATTTAGTACAATAAAGTAGGAATGACACATCCTGATAAATATGGAATGACTAAATTTTAGAAATTACTCCAAATAGGAATAAAACTATATGGGAAAAAATAAAAAAAATAGAACTTCTTATGTTTTTTATTCTAAAATAAAACCATATTACGCCTATTTGAAAACATATCTATTTTTTCATTCCATTCTTACTCCTCCTTTAAATAATAGTAAAAGGAAGTCAGAAGTTATAATTAAATGTTTCAATTCATAATAAATTCATAAACAATTTAAAAAACCTTACAAAAATAATAAATAGTTAATAAAAATTTATAAAATAAGAACTTATTATTACTATTTTTTTAAATTAATAAAAAAAGTAAAAATCCATAAAAAAAAATAGAAACAATGGATGCCTTTCTGACCGCCTGTAATGCCTCCCTGCACCACCACCTTCGATCGGTGTAAAAAATGCAATATTTCCTTAAAAAAATGCAATTCTTTTTTAAAATGTCAAAAAAATAGCATACTGTTCTTTGAGAATTCCAAAATTTTCATTGAATCTACCATAAATCCTAATGCATGTAGCATTTTTCCCCCCAGTGACAGGAGGCGGCGGCATTTTTTTTTTTTTCATTTTTTTGAAAAAGAAAATTTAAAAAAATGTTATTTTTAAAATATTTTAATTAATTTTTAAGTATTGTTAAGTTTTTTTATTATTTTATTATGAGTTACGTACTACGTATTTTATTATTTCAATAGCTAAAAGGGTACATTTGTTAAAGACACACATAATTAGTCCTATGTAACACAATTTGTTTTTTGGCCATCTTTGTGCAAATTGACCGGCTTTTAGGATGTTTTCTTTTGGACCGTAACTTGCTGGTCTAGTCTGGTCTGATCTGATCTGGTCTGGTCTGTTTAAGTCTGGTCTGGTCTGAACTGGTCTTGTCTGGTATAGTAAACGTCTGGTCTCTATGTATTTTATAACTATCCAAGTCTGGTCTGGTCTGGTCTGTTTAAGTCTGGTCTGGTCTGATCTGATCTGGGACTGAAAACAGTCCAAAAGAAAACATCCTTAGTCCTATATGCATAATTAACTCTAAATTTCAAAGTGATTGTCGGATGGACACATAATACCACGATAAATTTAATTCCATTTTTATTTAATCAATACTCCCTCCGTCCCTAATAACTTTGCCAAGTTTGACCGGCACGGGAATTAATAAAGTTTAAACTGTGTGGTTGAGGTTTGTGCAGAGGAGAGAGAATTAACTGGAACCACAAATTCTTTACTTAAATGGGAAAGTGGCAAAGTTATTGGGACATCCAAAAATGGAAAGTTGGCAAAGTTATAAGGGACGGAGGGAGTAACATACTAGATAGAATTGCCTAGATCGAAAATATACGATAGTATTAATTAATTGATTGATATGAACTACTGTAATACGTAAATATAGGCAGAAATTTGACAGAATGAAACCAATAAATTAAATTAATTTGCCAGAAACAACAAAATGACCCTAAACTATAAATCTATTCAAATTCATCTAAAATTTAAATGATGAATCTTGACTTCAATTTCACAACCCTACACTTCCGCGGTGCTTCTAACATCGTCCCAATGCGGTCAGCGCCTTGCGTTGACCCAAACCCGACCCTTACGTCATCGCACGTGGCCTTTATGTAAAAGGCTTTCTCGTCGTTCGCTCCAGGATTCTCCCTAACCCTACTTTTCACGTTAACGGTGAACGTGTAAACCACCGCCGTTGATTGCAAATCCGCCGGGACGGAAAAATGATTCATAGTCACCGCCAACGGCTTTTGCTCGGCATTACCCTGCCAGAAAGTTTCCGCGTGGGCCCGCGCTAACGTCTCGTTACGGCCGCCTACGACGACCGACAACTCGACCTCATCGTACTGATTAACCTTGTAGTAAAATTCTCCGTCCGCATTGTTGTTGTCGAAAGCCAAAACGACGGTGCAGTTGGCGGCGAGCGGCGGGGATGCCGCGGTGCTGCTGCGGTTGCCGGTGGGATTGGGTGAAAGCGTGAAATCATAGATGCGAACGTCTGGAATCGGCTGACAGATATCATCAATAATATATGCAATACCAAAAATGACCAAGGGATAAAGTATCATCAAGAATACCACCCACTCCCACCTAATACTGCAATCATCTGTTGTCGTTGAAGGCGGCATGCTTACTTGGTCACAAATTGTGATGAATTACGACGAGCTTGTAATTCTTTTGTTATCTCTCCTTTAAAATAAAAAACAGCTTTTAAAGAGCTAGTTAGTGCGTTAGTTTTTGATTGCATCTTTTAGAGTTCATGTTGTAATAGGAGACGGTAATTAATTAATGTTTTTTATTCCATCTTTTAGAGTTCATGTTGTAATAGGAGACGGTAATTAATTAATGTTTTTGATTCCATCTTTAATTAAGACTTCATGTTGTAATAAGAGACGGCAATTAGTTACAATGTTTTCTTTTGAACTATTTTCGGTCCCAGAGCAGATCAGACCAGATCAGATTAGACCAAACTGGACCAGACTTCCGTAGTTATAAAATACACAGAGACCAGACGTTTACTAGACCAGACCAGATCAGACCAGACCAGACCAACAAATTTTAGTCCAAAAGAAAATATCATTAATGTGCTTGGAATTAATTAGTTGTCTTTAATTATTTAAAAGTAAAATTAGAAGAGAATTAGAATTTGGTAGTGTTGAATAAACGGGACTCTATCACTATATAACTAATAACTACATACCGTGTACATAGTTTAATTACACCGCATGTAGAGGAAAAAAATCAAATACGATCGAGTTAATAGTTATTACTCAGACCAAACATGCCGCCTTCAACGACTGAACCATGGTATAGTTGGAGTTCTCCGATTGGTGTTCCAATTTTTGTAGGAGGGTTTCTTTTGTTTGTTTTCGCTGGTATAGTTGCCATAGGTATTTATACAAGTAGTGAAAGATTCGTCTCGCCGACCCCAAAAGTACGCATTTACGGCCTTACACTTTCACCCGAACTCGCTCCGGCGGACAACAATAGCACTGCCACCGAATCCCCGCCGCTCACCGCAACCTGCACCGTCGCTTTCTCGATCGACAACAACAATGATGAAGGAGTATATGAGTACAACGAGATCGAGGTATTGGTTGTCTGGGAAGGCCGGAACGAGACGTTCATGCGAGCCAACCCCAAAACCTTCACTCAAGGAAGCCTTGAACGAAAGCCCGTGTTGCTGGCCGCGACTGATTTGCCCGTGCCGCGGGATCTGCAATCGACGGTGGATTATACGTTCACGATCAATATGAAAAGTAGGGTTAGGCAAGATCCTGGGACAGGAGGGGAGCGTGCGTTTTACATCAAGGCAACTTGTGAGGAAGTAAAGGTTGGTTTTAGGAAAACACAAAGCGTTGATAGAGTTGCCACCATGTTGGATGGACCACAGATGTGCGGGGTTGTGAAATTAAAGTCTAGCTTTAATCTTTGATTGTTAGCGCTGTTCTGTTCGTTTAATTTAATTAGTAGGGTGGATTCGTCAAATTAAATTTTGGATTAATTTGAATAGATTTAATTTACGGTTTCTATGTTATTATGTCAATTTTGGCAAAGTAAACAGTTGTATTTGTTCATTCATTAGTTCAATTTTTAAGATAATAAAGTCAACCGCGTTGGTTTTAATTATTGAACCCATATACTCCCTATGATTGATTGCTTATTTGATTACATAGGGTTCATTGATTGAATTGGAATTTTGAGATGCAAACTTAAGAAATACTACGTACTACGTACATTAAAAAGTTATCTATTTAGCTTGGTAAAGTCATGAAATCATATTGTCGCCTTGTACATCAAGTCCAAGTAACAATTTATTTATGGTATATTTATGCTACGTAGCATAAATACGTCTCAATGGTGTTTGGCAATTCAATTAGCATATCATTTAATTAGCTGTTAGCTTACAACCAAATCTATCAGTGCATTGATATATAGATCATATTAGTTTTTTTTATCAGTGAGTATCAATCGCATATCATTTAATTAGCTGTTAGCTTATTCGCATTGTTATCAATTTAATTGATTGTTTGGAATTACATAAAAATTGCTTAAACAAACTACATGTAAGTGACTACGATGTAAACTTTAAACACAATTATAGTCACTAATAAATACTACGGGGTAAATCATATTTTTATCCATGATCTTTTTATTTAAAGAAAAACATTTTTTTATTTGGTACAAAGTACTTCCTCCGTTCTTTTTTAATTGCAACAGTCAACATTTCACGTTAGGCAACGAACAAGTTTGACCATAAATATCTTTCATTCCTTATTAGTAAAAAATTTAAAAAATTTATATTTTGAAAATTTAGAATGAGAACAATTTAACTATATTTTTTAACATTTTCATTTATAATCCGTAATACATTAATAAATAAAATATAATCAAAGTAGAATATGTGAATAATGCAAAAACTCTAATGTTGCAATTAAAAGAGGAGCGAGGCAGTATAATTTTAAAAAGAGCCCGTCACTTACCCCTTAAAATGCACGCTACCCCTTAAAAGAGTTTAACCGGCTACGTGTCCAACATATCCCTCTTTGCAAAAGCATTCTTAACATTTCTGATTTCTCCACATTTCTTCTCTATCTGCTAGAATATATTCTCCGGCCAACTTGACGGAGACAGGGAAGAGGAATTTCACGCCGCCGTACGCGTGGAAGCGGGATAGAGAAGCCGCCGACTAGGCTTGAGATCGGGATGAGGTAGATGCCTCCCTGCTGATGACGGATGGAATCGGAGTTTCCTCGGCTATCCACCGATATATAGGCTACAGTTATCCTATAACTTCCTTGCTTGGTGGAGAAGAAGTGAATAAAGATACTCACTAGCCGTCTGGTTCTCTGTAGCGAATTGGGATGGCTATCCAACTAGGTCATTTTGGAGCCATATCTTTTAAGAACAAATTCCCCTTAGGCGCAATCTTTCAGAGGAGAATCGAAGATTGAGTGCTTTTGTAACTGTAGTTTTTTTAAATGATATATGATCTGCATCTGATAATTTACTTTTCTGTTACCTAAATGTTTCTTAAGTTGTACTTCATTCATGAGAAAATATGTTCAATCTCCCCCTCAGAGGCTCTAGTTCAATGATTTTTGTCCTTTGATTTATCAATCGGAGTTAGATTAGGAAAATCTGGAAATTGTAGCTTATATTTTCTCTTTTTTAATAATTAACTTAATCATAAAGGAAAGATTTGCTTGAGTAATTAATTAGGTTTAATTTTTAATGATTTATCAAAACATATATAATTCAGTCTCAAAAAAAAAATCAGTCACAATTAATATTGACATTTTATAACGTTTTAATTGATGTTTAGTCTTCAAATTTAGTTCTAGTGATTCAGAGCTATTATCTTTGCAGCAATGGAGAATGATTACTTGCAGAGTTGCAGATATGTACTTAAAGGAAACGAGGAAGAGCTGATCAGCAGATTGCTCGATTAGCTGAGGATGGTGATATCTATAATATGCTCTCCAGAGTCCAGATCATTGGCTCCAGAGAGAAAAGGAGGCCCCAGAGAGCTTTGACACAGATGAACGAAAAAAGAGAGGCCCCAAGGACTATGCAGATGTTTGTTAACCAAGCGCATAGGAGGAACTAAACTAGCATCATCAAGTCAATGATGTGTTTTGAAACCAGCAACTTCTGGAAATAGGCAAATAGCCAAGGCACTTCACTGTTATATGATTTGGTTTCTAGTGTAGACCTGAATACTTTTTTTATTAGGGATATAAGTTGAATCTCAAAATTACATATTCTATTGGTGCCAAATTATTCAAGTATGACAGCAAAATATGCATAAGATGACAATAACTCAGAAAAAACCGAATCATGAAATAACTGATAATAACCCAGAAACAGTAACATAAATTAATGAATCAATAGTCACAACACAAGAGTAAACTAATTAATAACAGCAACTCATAATAACCTAGAAACAGTAACATAAATTAATGAATGAATAGTCACAACACAAAAGTAAACTAATAACAGCAACGCAGTATCATGATACAAAAATTGAGTTTCAGCCTGCTCTAATAGAAATGCTTTTTATCATGCTTCAACATTCTAAATCTGGCAGATTGAGATCAAATTGTTGATTACAATTTTGAGACCTGCAATAACGGCACATATTACGATATTAAATATTTTAAACTATATACTACCTCCGTTCTCTTTTAGTTGCAACGTTGAACTTTTTACACTATTCACATATTCTACTTTGACTACATTTTATTAATTGATGTATTATAAATTAAATTTTTAAAAAATATTGTTAAATTCTTCTCATTCTAAAATTTCAAAATAAGAATTTTTTAAATTTTTTACTAATACGGAATGAAGAATATTAATGGTCAAACTTGTGCGTTGGCAAACGTGAAATGTTGACTGTTGCAATTAAAAAGGAACGGAGGAAGTATAAGGAATATAAATGAATAAAACGATTGATGGAGTATATGGCCCAGGAACCCCCGGCCCATAGACTCCTACTTCTCCTACACAAGTCCATTGAGCCCAGGGAACAACTCAGGCCCAAATACCACGGCCCAAGCCTCAGGGTGACCCAGAATACACACTGGGGTGCCTTCGACCTCCTTGGCCGAAGGCTCCAAAACTCACAGAATAGCCTTCTCTGGCATAAGAAGCTACTGGGAGAAAACGGCGAAAAACATGAGCCTTCGGCACTATCAAGCCCTCGGCATCGGAGAAGCCCTCGGCTGAACCAAGCCTTCGGTCACACCAGGCCTTCGGCCGCACAGGGGTCCTCGATTACATGGAGCCCTCGGCTACACAAGGAGCCTTCGGCCAAACACGCTCAATCATCAGAGATTCCTTTTAGAGACAGCCAACCACCACATTTAATGCCACGTCACATCCGCCAACCGCATTCAATGCGGTGGACGTACCACTGCCGGTGCCAACCAGCTGATGTGACCCTTCGGCCGTCGGATTACTGACACGTGTACTCTCATCGCATTTATTGCTGCTATAAATAGCAGCCTTTACTCTCCTTGTAAAACACGTCGAGTTCATTTAATAAATCGACTCTCTCTCCTTCTATTTTGCTCTGACTTCTCTCTATTTATTCCCGCAATAACCCCTCGAATAAGATACCCCCCGGGTAGACTATCCATCAACGATTGCTTAATAAAATGTAAAATATTCAATAACAAAGTCAGATTTTTACCTCTCTGGCTGTGAAACGTGACATGATCTAGCATTATGGCCACTCTTCTTACATTTTCCACAACATCTAGCCTTTTCAGATGGGTGTTTAAGGCATGAACCTGAACCTCTAATCTTTTTAATTTTCGGATCTTTCACAGAAAGTTTTGGTGAGTGGGAAGACAATGTTGATGGATGACTTGTATTCATCCTCCCATCGTCCATATGTGCAAGGTGATCCATAACACCCTTTAAGACCCCTGCGAAGTAGTTGCTTCGTTCTTCAGTTAAGGATGCCATGTCAACAACTTCGAATGCAGACGACCTTAGCTTAACCCGCCTTGTCCACAATTTCTTACTAACAAAAGAATCAGTTGCAGGCTGATAAATAGGGTTTACCTTTGCTTTCTTTGTCCAGCGATGAAGAATATATTTCTCTGGCAATAACAACACCTGCTCGAGCCTCATCCATGTGAGAATATGGCGGCAAGTAATCCCCATAAATTCAATTTTTTTACCGCTACACGAAACAAAATCTAAGGATATGTCGTATGTAAGCTTGTGTGTCGTAGAGCTATAAGTCAAATCCATATCACATCTCTTAACATCATAAATCTTAGTTTCAACAGAGCTAGAAACCAGGTGACAAGTGTAAAGAGCACACTCGTCATATTGTTTCTGGAACTTACGAAAAATTGCTTTTGTGTATATTCCAGCCATTTGTCCTTCCATTAAATAACTTGATTTCACCCGTTGAACTTCATTTCGATCGCGGTGATCAGCAACAAGCTCTCTGTGCCTCTGTCTCACAATAGCCCGAGTAATACGTGTCACACACTGGCTCACGGTGCACTTCTTGTTAGCATACTTTTTTAAAAAAAAGCATGTGTGCTTTCGACATGTTGACTACTTAACATTCCAGCACAAAAAACATGTTTCACAAAACAGGGAACCCATTTCGTACGAATTTCATATGTATCAGCAAGCCAACTATTTTCATTCAACTCTGGCAACAAAAGTTTCTCAGTCCATTGTTGCTCAAAATCACTTGTGCTCTTTGAACTCATAATAATATCAACTAATTCTTTATGGAGTTCAGTATATGATGAGCTAGAGACATTCATCTTTTCAGGGAATTTTTTAAGTATATGCCATAAACAATGATGATGTGATGCATTTGTTAATGCATCAGCCACTGCTCGAGCTATAGCTGCATCCTGGTCAGTTATTATTACTTTTGGATGAGGTCCAAGATTCATAGCTTCTAAAAACTCTGATAGTAGCCAAGAAAATGACTCAACCGATTGATCACTTAGCAAACCGCAACCGAAAACAGTAGTTTGATGATGATGATTAACACCAATGATCGGAGCAAGATACAATCCATACATGTTCATATTGAATGTTGTATCAAATACAACCACTTCGTTGAAAAATGAGTATGCATTCCTACTGTCACTATCGGCCCAGAAGCATCTAGTAAGAACCTTTTCACTGTCAATCTCATACTTGTAGAAGAAGTCACAATTCCTATGTTTTTCCATTTGAAATCCATGAATTATTGTTTTCACATTGATCCCATTAAATTTGGATTTCAATGAGACGTTGTAATTATATATATCAGTCTCTGTGCACCCCATCATAGCTAGGCCTCCAACTTCATTCTCCAACAACCGAATTTGGGTATGTGTCTCAATATTTGCTTCTCCCCACTCATTCATCAATACTCTCTTAGAAGATGACACCTCTCGATGAGAACGAAGCAAATGTGTCTTACTAGGACTAACAAGGTCATGATTATGTATCTTTTCGAATTGTGACACAATCCACAAACCGCTTTGTCGGTCTCTTGAAACATGCATTTTAGCAAGACACCCACACCTAGTTTGGCCCCTATTCCTTTCAAAGGCAATCTGATTTTTCTTCCGCGATGACACATTTGTCTGGCTTTCTTTAGAGCATGCAAATGTTCTCCATGTTATAACTCCAACTTTATTAACAGTTGAGTTTTTTATTTTAGTACTGAACCCAAGCAGCTTTGCATATGCATTATAGAAAGCCTGAGCATCATCTAACGAATGAAATTGTTGGCCTAGTTTAGGCGTTCTCTCAAAATAAAGATCTGAAAGAAAAATTAATATTACACAAAATCTTGAATTAGTATATGAAATTAAGTTTTTTTTAAATCAGACTATTTTGGATATGAAAATTCTTTCAAAATGTTACATATTTAAAAATATTTTCATAAAAATTAAAGTTCCCATGATGCACCTCTTCATGACGAAACTAATACGGAGCAGTAAAAAAATACATACACATATCAATACATCGAATATACATTACATTTAATCTTATCATTATTATGTGTAAGTAAGTTCTGACAACAATTTGGTATAAAGTTTAGTTTTTATTTGAGACTAAACATATACAAGAATAAATAATTATGGCTGAGACTTTGGAACCAAGAACCGGAGAACCGAACCGGACCAAACCGTTATGACCCGGTTCGGTTCGGTTCCAAAATTTATTAGTTATTTGTTAATGGTTCGGTTCCTACTTTTTATTAACGGTTCGGTTCTCGGTTCCTGTAAAAAATATGTACGTGGAACCGTTAAAGAACCGTTATATATAATAATTAAAATTATATATATTTCTTATTAGTATATGTATTTTAATGTATATTTACTTATTTATTTTCATATTACATTCACTATTTTAGTTTAGTTATTTAACTATTTGAAATTGTTTTTCATTTAACTGGTTTTATTGGGCTTCTTTACCGAATATCTTGTTTTGTTTTTGTTTTCTAAAATTTGCAGTTTGTTATGTATTTATCTTTTAAACTCAACTTTTGAGGTTTGAAATGAAATTCAACATATTTGTATTGTAATTTCAAGCGTTGAATGTATTTTTGACACAAATTTAACCGTGATTTGAAAGATTTTTTTTAAATACTAGGAACCGTTAAATGACAAGAACTGAACCGTTAAGAACGATTCGGTTCCTTATCGGTTCTACAAAATAATTTATAAGAGCCGAACCGTTAGTAAAATTTCATATTTTCAAACAGTTCCACATATTTCACCTAGGAACCGAACCGGTCCCAGACCTATAAATAATCTCACCGTTGCAACATACAAAAGGATTACAAAGAGATTTTTTTTTGTGATGTACGTACGTAACAAAAGCTATACAAGAAATTAATACTCCGTAGTATATTAACGCATTAATCGAATTACAATGAAGATGAAAAATCATCATTATTTTGTATATTTAGTGATGGAATGTTGAGAATACATGCATTGTATATTTAGTATGTTAACGCATTAATCGAATTACAATGCAGGTAGTACGCTATTGTTGTCCATGTGTAACTGTCGTTGTGCTCCAAAGTTTCTACGGAAAATAATTGAATAAATAATCTACTCCGTATGAAGCTTCTACGTTTACTATTAAAATTGTCGAGATTAACATGTGAAATAATTACATAAATATGACCAAAATAAAGATGACTTACAAAAATATGATTAGTTACTAGAGTAGTAATGAAATCATAGTAATTCGTGTTCAAGTTTTAAACTTAAGTTGTAGTAATGAATAGTCATATTTATGTAAATAAGTTTTATTTTAGTAATATTCTTGTAAAAAAAACCAAATCACACCACGGGAAAAATACTACAATAATACTAAAAGAGGGAGAGATTCCCATAATATGACTAGAAATCTGGTTTGACCGAAATATGACTTGTAAACACATTGGAGGGGTTGGTTTCACGTATTATAATCCCTACATTTTAGGCTTGGAATTTAATATTAGTGTGTAATCGTGAGTAGGATGACCAAAAACCAAGCAACAAAATAGGGAAAAAAAACTACTAGGTCATACATTGAGAAATACATGATCTTTTACGGTGATGCAGTATTTCGTCCGATGCAGAAAAATGGAAGTCGAAAGATGTTCTTTAGAGTACGTATGGGGTAGAAGAATCAGAAATCCTCTTTTGAGACTAGCGTGCAATGTCAAAACACTATTTTATTTAATTTAATAAGGAAATGTACATGCTCAATAAGAAGTGAATACGTGATGTGGGAGCCGTGCTAAATTAGGAGGAGACGAGGAGTACATGCTCAATAAGGAGCCCGCTACATGCTCGTTAAAATTTCTGGTTATCAGTATATAATAACCCCTAAACAGATAAACTACTTCAGTGTTCGGACAGATCAACAGTACTACTCCGATCCGTAATTCCGTATTCCAATTCTGATTTTAATTTCTTTTTAGAGAAGAATATACGTAGTATAAATAATTCCAAACACAAATACTGTCTTCTAAAAGGACATGAATACCGAGATCGAAATTAAATCTTAATGAACTTATGAACCCGATAAAAGACTGATCCGCCTATAAATACGGCGTACATACTTTACGCCGTATGTAAACCACGAAGAGAGAAACCAAACATGCCGCCTTCAACGAAGGAAAAATCAAATCGCAGTGATCATATTTTTGCAGCACGTTATATTGCAATGATGATTGTATTTTGGAGTCTCGTTATTTGGGTTATTGTAGCTATTAATTCATTGACTGATACGACCCCAAAAGTACGCATCTACGTCTTCACACTCTCAGCTAGACTTGCCACTTTCGGCAGCAACAGCACCGCAACCGAACCTCCGCCGCTCACCGCCAACTGCACCGTCGTTTTTGCTTTCGACAACAACAAAAGGAATGTGTTCGGTTATGATTATTCTGGAGTACTATATGAGTACGATGAGATCGAGGCATCGGTTGTCTGGGGCGGCCGGAACGAGACGTTAATGCGAGCCAACCTCGAAACCGTTCTGCAGGGTAGCCCTGAGAAGAAGCCAGTGTTGCTGGTCGCGACTGATTTATTCGTGCCGCCGCATCTCCAATGGACGGCGGATTATACATTATTCACAGTCAATGTGAAAACTAGGGTTAGGGCACAAGTCGGGAAAGAAGACGAGAATGTGTTTTATTTAGAGGCAACTTGTGATGAAGTAAAGATTGGGTTAAGCGAATCGGTAAGCGGTGATAGGGTTGCGGCCATGATGGATGGACCACTGATGTGTAGGGCTGTGGAATTAAAGTCTAGCTTTGATGTTTGAATTGATTAGCTGTTTTACTCATTTAATAATTATATATTCACGTTATTTTTTCCATTTTACCATAAAAAAGTTAACAATTTTGTAAAAATAAAAGGATTAGTTATATTTGTTCAATAGTTCAATTTTGAATATAAAGTGAATGGCGTTTGATGTACTGATTTACATCTTGTTATCCAACTAATGAACCGATATATTGAGATTAAAAAGGTTCATGCATTGGGATTTTGAGATGCTACGTTTTGGGAAAAAATGTAAAATAGACTCTCTTAGTATATCAAAAAAGTCAATTAAATTATTGAACTTAAAGAATACTCAAATAAGTCCACTAACTATAAAAAAAGCAGTCAAATTTATAATCTAGCAGGTGATAATCCGGTCATCCCATTAAGTTGCACGCTATTTTTAGGGTTAAGGGGCAATCAAGCCACTAAGGTATACCTTTAAGTGCAAATAAGACACTATGCTTAATTTTGGGGCAAATAACACACTTTTGATAGTTATATTATCACTTTAGCCACTCATTAACGTTTTTAACTTAAACTAACAATTTCTCCCAACCATGCTCCGTTAAGTTTATACTCCGTACATACCTTTTTTGTATTATCGGTCTATATGTTATGAAATGTATACCTAAAGTTATTTAATTTAAACCGTCTATGCACATCTATCATATACGAAGTATCGTTTAAGATCTTGATTCTTGAATGTCCATTATTTCATTTGATGCGGAGTACAAAAATCTTTGTCAGGAATGTAATTATTATTATTATTATTATCATCATCATCATCATCATCATCATCATCATCATCATCATCATCATCATCATCATCATTACTATTTTGTCCATTATACTGTATTATACATCTAGAATTCTAAATATAAATTTACTCCGGGCTGGGGCATTTTTATGCTTTGTTTAACATTTCTTTCAAAAATAAATGATTTGTTTAACATTTGCTTATTTCGTAAGAGTAAATTGTTCTTTTTATTAATTTATAATAATTTTCGCATTTTTCTATTTAAATATGAATACATAATGTTCATTATATTTTATAAGATACTAATTTAGTGTTTGAAAAATTGCTAGAAACTTGGAGAAAAAATTACCCAAATATGAGTGCATCATAGTACGTTTACTCAAATTAAATTAAGAGTAAAATATTAACTCAATATTAAGTTATACAAAGATGTATTTTTTGTTCAAGTATAATGAGAGTTTTCTCATGCGCTAGACAAGCATAAGAATTATAAGTTAATCAGAGATGTTATTCCCACAGCTACAAGCTCTAGAATATCAATTTGTTTAAAATTTTTCTCAAATCTTCAAACCGGCTTCATAAGATATGTATCTAAATTCGGATTGTCAAAAAAGATATGTATCTAAATTCTTTTCCGTAATGGTGACTTTAATTTCAAAAAAAAATCTGCTCCCTTTCAAATTTCAGTCGTCAAAAAACAGGTAGTGTAGTAGCCAAACACACTTAAATAAATCAATGTAATGAGATACATATTACACACAAAATAAAATAGTTTGTGTAATACTTTGTTGCCTTTTGCACAAATAAGATTTTCCAAACTAAGAGAATTAAACTTTGATGTGGTGTTGAGAATGGTTTCTTCATGCTACTATATCAATTTCATGTGGTGGTGCGGAGTAGGCATGGACCCGGTTCGGGCCGCCCGGCCCGGGACCGGCCCGGCCCACCACTGTGCGGGCCCGGAACCGGCCCGGTTCTCGGGTCCGGGTCCGGGTCGGAGGCCGGCCCGGAACCGGACCGGACCCGGTGGCTACCCGGGCCGGTCCCGGGCCTTCCTTCCCAAAAAAAAAGCCCGGCCGGAACCGGCCCGGGTCCATGACTAGTGCGGAGAAAAAATTATGAACATGAAGATAAGTTGGTATTCTTTTTTATTTTGGTCCTCACATTTTTTTATTTAAAATTCAGTACCAAGTTTGAAGTTTAACGGAGTATGGCTGGCAGAAGTTGTTTAGTTCCTTTAAAAACGTTAATGAGTGGTTAAATTGACAATATAACTATCAAAAGTGTGTTTTTTGCTCCAAAATTAAGCATAGTGTCTTATTTGCTCTCTAAGATATATCTTATTGGCTTGATTGCCCCTTAACCCCTATTTTTATAATGACTTGCAACGTCAGTTGATACAAAGAACCGACGTGGAATAACTTTTTTTTTGAAATAAAGACTTTAATTCATTTCTTCATTAAGAATATCCAAAATACAAGACGGAACATGATTAAAGATCATACGAGAAGCATAATTAATAGACTTCCTAGCTAAAGCATGGGCGCTACTATTTGCTTTTCGTCTAGTGAAAACAACTTTAAAATTGTTTTTTGTTGCTAGTAGGGATTTGCAGTCCTCTAGAAGCGAACCATATTCTGAAATATCCTCCCGAGCTGAATGCACATCCTGAACTACTTGTTTTGAATCCATCTCGAAGATGACTTGTTCATGATCCATGTTTTGCATCCAACTCATTGCTTGACGGAGTCCCCATACCTTTGCTTCTACCGGCGAGAGAGATGCTTTGCACCATTCCGACATAGCCATATAGAAATGTCCCTGATGGTCCCTAACGCAGCAGCCCATACCAGCCCTTCCATCCTCTATAAAGATAGCTGCATCAACATTGCATTTAAGGGCTGGCCATGGAGGAGGCTTCCAGTTGCTGTTGCACTCCGTAGTCTTCTGTCTGACCCGAGCTTTACCATGGTACTCATCCCACGTGTGCAGCACTTCCGCTCCTCTGGATAAGACCTGCTGTACAGATTCTCTGACATTCTCCCAACACAAAACGTTTCTTCGCCGCCAGATGCTCCAAGCTGTCATGGCAAAGATCCTCAACTCCTCTGCCATAAATTTCTCCAAAACCAACATAAATAGCTCTCCAAAACATTCTGCTTGCTGCATCACAAATTCAATTTTGTCCCACAATCCTACATGACACCAGGCAGCCACACTCTCATTACAATTCAAAAAAATGTGCCAATTATTTTCAGGACCTCCTCCACAAGTTTCACATACATTTGGGCAGAAAATACCTTTCTCCCTTAGTCTACTTCGGTTTGGTAAGCAATCTCGGCCAAGTCTCCACATAAACATGCGTACCTTCGGCGGGACTGCTAGTTCCCAAATATGCATCCAGTTTCCTTTCTTTTTTAGGTGATCAGTCTTCACCAACTTATCCATACAAAGTCTATATGCACTCCGCACAGAGTATCGCCCGTCTTTCTCATAACGCCATGTGGGGATGTCTTCTCTATCAAGTCTGAATAGCGGTATTGCCAGAATTTCATTTGCGTCCCTATCTGCAAATGTATTTCTAATGAGGCCTTCCTTCCATCTGTATTCATCCTCATCTATTAACCGACAAACCTGCATCCCATTAGATTCTCTAAGCGCACCAGAGTGTACCCACGTGGAATAACTTAAGACGACAGTTTTTAAATAACTGACGTAAAATGTATGACGTGGTATATTGTTTGTGTGTAGTGAATTAAAGATATTTAGTTCGGTAAAGTCCTGATACATATATTGAAAAATTCCTTAGACATCAGTTAGGCTGCTAGTAAACCATATTGCCACTATTTCTATGCCACGGTTTTTTATAAGTACTCCCCCTCTCCCCTCCCACCCCTAATATTCTGCCATGGCATGGAAAGAGTGAAATACACTTATCCTTATTTGGCAGCTGCATTTGAATAGATAAGGGATTTTCAAAAGCCACAAATACTTGGCAATTGATGTAATGTATTTGCCCAACAAATGCCCAACAAATACTGATATATTGGAACTTATTGTTTCAGAGCATAGTGTTAGCAGTAGTCTAAAAGAGATTTTGAATCGATCACCTTAGAGCAGCAGGTTGTTTTGAATATCCTTTTTTTTCTACGGGTGAAACAACTGAAATAAATTTAAAACACGAGTCTTTGATTGTTACCTGAATTCGCCTGACACAATAAGATCAGGACCCTAAACTCTCGTACCAGAACAAAGAAAAGCGACACAGAGAGAAAGAACGACTGCTGCTGGTAGGAGGAAAATAAATCTGCCCGAAATAAGTGATTTGGCAAAGGACGATAGCTTGAGTGAAGGGCCAAATATGAAAAGAGAGAGCGGCTGAACAGCTAGCTTGAGGTGTGATTTGTTGTGCGTGAGAATGCAGAGGTTTTGAGGGGTTATACGATGGTATCTCTTTATGTATATCCCTTTAGGGATTTTAGGTAAATTATTAATTCGGGCTAAGATAATTGATTTGGGTCTCTTAATCCTCTAAGAAATAATTGTGACCCAACCGAATAATCATATTTTCCCTTTCAGAACATATTAAATAAATAAAAAATTATTCCATAGTATTTATTTCTTCGATTAAAATTATTATGAGCTTACCGGTCAGCGTTATCTGCCACAAATAAAACATGTTAAATAATAAATCACATTAATCATAAAAGAACTTATAACTGACTGAAATAATAATAACTTTAAGTAACTAGATCACAAAATCGGGGTGTTACATTTACGGGTTTTGGATGTTTGGTATATGCTCATGATAACAAACGTAAGGATAAATTCGGTGAAAGGGGGAGTCCTTGCATTTTTCTCGGTTATCCGCCAGGTCAAAAGGCTTATCGGGTTTTTCATTTGACAAATATGTCAATTACCAGCACACGGGATGTGACATTTTTTAGCGACATTTCCCGTTCAAAATTTCATCTGGCAATGACGACACTTTCTCAGAAATTATTAGCAAAGTCTATCATAAAATTTTGGATTTGGACATTTCCCATACACCATATCGTCCCCATGCACATGCAAAACCATCCTATTTTTCGTCCGCAAGCGAGAGCAACAACTTTCCTTCCAGGCTGGCATCCTCACGATCACATGATCGGCCTCCACTCACATTATCTAATCATGAAGCATGTCACCCCATTTCCCAAAATATCAATAATTTTGGTGATCCTCCTGACACGGCCACTCCACCACATGGTGCAGACATAGCACCTTTGGATTATCAACCATCTGCCACATTAATACAGATCCCCACATGGATAAAATTTTCCCACATAATACACCATCACCCTCAGACGTGAATCAAGGACCCCACCTCAGTACAGATGCCATCAGAGAACCTGCCAACACCCATCCGACAGAGCTTCGACGCAGTGACAGGGCACGTTCTCGTCCTCGTCATCTTGTGTGACACCGCACCCGAACGTCCTTGAAAATTCAAATTTAAAAATTTGAATTTTATGTATTGAATTTCTGATTCCCAAACAATTGTGAAACGATTGTTGTTTTACGTAATTAATGATTTATTATTATACTGTTCGAACTCGTATATTAGTATCGGGCCTTATTAATAAATAAAAGAGCCTAGCATTTTCGAAATAGTGATACATAACGTTTCAAGACAAGTTGAGGAGGGGCGGGCGGCCCAGATATTATTTTGGGCTCAACCCGCTAAAATAGCAAGTATTCGAGAATGGCGTCGTAGGCCCACTCGGGGGCGACCCACACGGCTTGTAGCCCAATAATATGGATGACAAATATCAAAATAAGTGATAGGATGATTTGAGATGAATACAAATGTCTATGATACCATCTTTGACATTATTGAGCTAGATAATGGGAGTAAGATTTTCCTTCTATAATGTCCATCAAGTAAATTATTGAGATGAGCCTACACATATTGGAGATCAATAATGTGATGTAGGAAGTTGACTTGTTCTAAATAAATTAGGATGAGTACAAAAAGACATCTTTGACAAAAGATAAATTAATAGGACCCATCTTCCCATTTTTGGGAGTATTGGTAGATATTTTGGACCCCAAAATAATTGGGATCAATTGGGAACTACTCCACATGATTTTAGTACCTGCAAGACAAGAAAAATAAGTGAGGAGACTTACCTTGGCCGCACAAGCTGGAGGAGGGCTGCACAAGACTTGATTGGAATCAAACTTGAGACCCACCTTGTCAATTTCCGCACAAATTATGGGTGTGGTTTGTCTCCCTCCTCAAGGGGAGTTGTACTCGTCCAAATGAGGTGTATAAGGTGTCCTTGGATAGCTTTTGAAGTCTATTTTTATAATTGAGTGGTCTCTGTTCGAGAGGAGAGGGTAATCATCCAAAAATCGATCTGGAACGAGCAGTGGTCTGTGAACTCGAGCTGTGAGAGTGCTGAGACTGTTTGGTTGATATCTCGAGTTTTACCAATCCAATTAAGGCGTGTGAGATACCAAAAGAAATCTCTCAAGACGAGGAATCCGTGAAGGTCTGGTTTGCATCAATCGGAGTAGAGGAAGGCTTCCAAATCGTCCGAGCAGAACGCGACCTCGCAGGGACGGATTTACTCTTCTAAGTGAGTTTTTAATCCCAAAACTTTTCCATTCATTTTCCAAATGATATGAACGATTGGTGGGACTATTATACACTACTCCAAGTGTATAAAACATCCCTATTAATTTATTTTATTGATGTAAAGTTTAGATACTAACCTAGATGCAAATATTGGAAAACTAGGAATCGAGTTAGCCGGAAAACACCCGTTCTAGGGGCTGTTTTCGTATCAACGATTAGGGGTTGAAATAGCAACTTGAGGAGGCTGTTTAGCACCCATTTCTAAGCAAGGAATCAGTTCTCAAGCTTCCTTGGCCGAGGCTTTGGTCATTGGATCGAGAAGGAAAGTTTTAAAGCTCATTTGAGGTGAGGATCGACATCTAGTTGCTTACAACTTGTAGGTTAAGCATGAGATTACCTAAATGCCTAAATAATGTTTTCCATGGATTATGATGATAAACTATTGATGGAATATTGATCTATTTTCCAAAGAATGAAATGGGAAATGATTTGGTAAAGTATTGATAAAAATGGAGTTAAATGAACTATTGTGTGAAATAGGCATTTTACTCATGTGTGCATTGTGTAGATACATAAATGATTATTTATGTATTACATTGAATGATTAAGTTGCTGCTACATATCTCTAAATATGTAGGGTTTTACAAATGGAATATATGATGGATAAGAATAATCTTAATAGTATTGAAATACTAGTTAATGATTGTTGTAATTGTTAAGGAATTGAATCTATGGATTTGATTGAAATTGATGAACGTGATTGTGATGCAAGTGACTAAATTGATGTAATGTGATGCTAAGACCATGGTTGGGCAGTCCGTAAGGACGTCCCAAAATAGATTATTGATATTACAATTCTAGGCATAGTGAGTGCTTAGGAATTGGGGTCTATGCCAATGTAAGGAGATGTACTTGAGCCGTTGATAAGTCCGTATTTAGACACGCATTTGATGCGTGTTCGAGTCGGATTTTGATGATTTTCCTGGCTTTAAGGTGATGCAAGTCTCAATTTTGGCTCAAGTTGTGTTTAACAGGCGTTGGATCGAGTTTCATAGCATTTGGAGTTGATTTGAAGAAGTTAGAGTCCGGCAATCGGCGCTTGAGAGGCATTCGGGAAGGGTTTGAAGGCATTCGAGAGAGATTTGGAAGATTTGGAGGCCACCGGGAGATTCACGACGAAATTCTGGTGAAGAAAGAGCATTTGGATCGACCTTGTAGGCATTCGGGAGCATTCGGAACGAGAAACGAAGAAAAACAATGAAGGAAAGAGCAGGCACGTCCGTGCCTAGGCCAGGCACGATCGTGCCTGCCATCTAAATCAACGCGGAGCCACTGGCAGCCAGACACGATCGTGTCCGGTGCAGGCACGATCGTGTCTGCAAAATTTTTACGCGTCCCTTCCGCAGGCACGGTCGCAGGCACGATCGTGCCTGGCACCGTGCCTGACCCCGTTTTGTCCTAATTCAGCTCAAATTCTCCTGTTTTCTATAAATAAGGCCTCCATACCCACTTTTGGGGTTACGAACTTTGGAGAGAGGCCTAGGGACGAGTTTTACCTGCGTTTTTACGTTGTTTAATCCAAGAACCTGGGATTCTTTGTAAGTTCAATTCTTTAATTAATGACAATTATTTCTATTCATCCAAATTCTTTTGATTCGTCAATTATGAGGCGTGAGTAGTTTAATTAGGGATTTGGGGTTGATGAAGGGGTTAATCATGATTGATGGCTAGATTCTTGTCGGTTTAATTGCATGAATGTCGTTTAATTTGTGTTTGAATAATTTAATTGATATCTTTTGTAACCTAGACTGCAGCTAGAATTACAATTGCATGTAGAATGAATTAAGAGAGATCTAATTTGTTCTAGGACACATTCACACACACTTAATCGTTCGCTAAGAGATTAGTAGCGATTAAGGGGCCGTAAGCTCGCTTGTCTTGGCAATAATTTGGGATCCTGTCGCATGAGAGATCAGCCTGGTCCCCTAAATTATTGTACTCTACGCCGCGAGAGCGGTAAGAACTTAGTAATGATTAGCTAGGCTCAATTAAATTAAATTCATGTGATTAGGCCTGTTCTGCCAGAAATCTGGTTAACCCCGGAATCAATTCCTGTTCCCTTCGTCGTTAATTAAGGAAAACCAAATCTTTTTATTCGTTCATTAGTATTAGTTTTAGTTTAATCAATCCATCAATCTCGCACAATTGCACTTTTATTTTATTTATTTCTTTTTAATCGCTAAAGTTTAATTAATCTTTAATTCCCTTTTGTCCGTCCCTGTGGAGACGATACTCGTACTTTCAACCACTTTACTACATCCTTTTTAAGTGCGAGAAAACACGCATCAGTTTTTGGCGCCGTTGCCGGGGACGGTGTCGGATTTAAGGGTTAATTAATTTTAGCGACCTGTTTTTAGTTTTTCGTAGGATTTTTGTCTACTAACCTTGCAGGTCAGATCTGTTTATGCATACACGCTCTAAGAAGGGAGAATCACTAGTCCCTCTTAATCCTGAGATCGAGAAGCTAGCTAAGCAGAACCGCAAGGCCTTAAGAGAACAGAAAGCAACCATGGATCAACCATCCGCATCTGGAATAGCTGGGACGTCTGAGGTCCAAACCACTTCTGGTAATCTGGATTTTTATGTTAATACCTCTCCCCAGTCTTCACAAGAAAATTCACCAAGAGCTTATCCGGGGTATCAAAATCTCCGTACCCCATTCTTCCACCAAAATCAGTCCACTCCACAACTGAATCTTCCACCACTCTATCAGCTCTTTCAAAACACTTCTATTGCTCCCGAACCCACCTTTCAAAACCAAACCTTTGGGATGCAAGGTCTAGGGCAAAATAATCCGGTTTTTCAGCCCAGACAGAACCAACCGCCAGTCACACAAAATCCACCCCCTACTCAGCCACAAAATCAGCCCTTCCAACCCCAATATCAACAATTCCATCAAACCCAACCTCAGCCAAATATCATCCGTCCACAACCCATAAGACCACAACCAGTTCATCAGCCGAGATATCAAGCTCCTCCTTACCACAACTATGTTCCACATGACAATCCACTCTATCAAGGAGAGAGCATTGCAGACTTCCTAGCCCCCGAGATCACAGAGTACGACAGCATTCAGGTACCAGGGATTACTGCACCCCGATACGAGATCAAGCCGGCGGTGATCAATATGGTCCTAAATAATCAGTTCGGAGGGAGTCCTACGGAAGATCCAGTGGCACACATTACCAAATTTCTGAGGATGTGCCAGACTTTCAAGATCCCTGGGCTAGATGATGATCAGGTACGGATGCTACTATTCCCTTTCTCTTTGAGGGATGACGCGCAGAGGTGGTTGGATAGCAATCCACATCACCACATTCAGACTTGGGACCAGCTGCACAAGGCCTTCATCAAAGAATACTTCCCAACATCAAAGGCCATAAAGTTGAAGAAGCAGCTACAGGAATTCAAGCAAGGTTCATTGGAGACATTAGCTGAGGCATGGAAGAGATTCAAGGTGCTGAGAAGAGCTTGCCCTCAAGGCAAGATGACTGATTGTGAGGTTCTATCTTGTTTCTATAGTGGACTCAACAATGAAGGAAAGATGATGCTTGATGCTTCGGGAGGTGGAGCTTTTCCTCAGTTGCCATCTGAGGTTGCGGAAGAATTAGTGGAGAAGATCGTGACTAATAATGCTTCATGGTACAGCTCTCGGGACACACCTCACCAGAAGGCCCCGGGATTGTACGAGATCAGTGAGAATTCTGCCCTTTCTGCAAGGGTAGATGCTTTGACCAGTTTGATTCAGAAGCTTGCTACTACAGTGGAAGATAATCAAAAGAAGACGGAACTTGCTCTCTCGGTGCCCAGTGTGAATATGGTATCCCCAGTTCCTATTAGTCCCTCTTGTTCTATGTGTGGGGGACTCCATTCGCCACATGAATGCACAATGATGGCACACTCGGCAGCCCCTGGAGTAGAGCAAGTGGATGCGATGTATTATCAGCGTCAGGGCTACTACAATCAGCCCTACGGACAGCAGCAGCAAGGGCAATACGGGCAAGGAAATCAGCAGCAGTCTAGAAATTATAATCAGCCCCAGGTACCTCAAGTTCAACAACAAGCTCCTCAACCGGCGCAAGGAAGCTTCCGAAGGGAGACCGAGCAAAAAATTTCTAGCTTGGAAGAAGTGCTCAACAAATTAGCACAAAATCAGCTGAAGGCAGACTCAAGGATGCAAATGTTTGAGGCAAGGATGCAGAGCATGGAGACTCACATGGGGCAGATCTCAAAGGCTTTATCTGAGAGGCCTCAGGGATCCCTCCCTAGTAATACTGAACCAAACCCGAGAGAACATGTTCAGGCAGTCACCTTGAGGAGTGGACGAGAGCTGGAACCCGCTGCTACAACAAAGAAGCCCGATGAAGTTCAAATTGAACCGGCTGTCCGGGAGGAAGAGAAGGAGAAAGATGAGGGAAGAGAGGTGGCGGTTGCACCAAAACAGTCCGTTCCGGTCAAGAATTACACCCCACCTCTCCCCTATCCGGCGCGATTGACTAGGAAGAACGATAGTGACCAGTTTGGTAAGTTTCTGCATCTCATGAAACAAGTGCAGATTAACTTACCATTCGTGGATGCACTAGCTCAGATGCCGAAGTACGCGAAGTTTATGAAGGATTTGCTCACAAACAAAAGGAGGCTGGAAGAAGCGTCTACTGTGACGCTTAATGAGGAGTGCTCAGCTGTGATACGGACAGATCTGCCGAAGAAGCTTAAGGATCCAGGTTCTTTTACTATTCCCTGCTTTATAGGAGATCTTACTTTTGATAGGGCCCTGGCTGATTTGGGTGCAAGCATTAATCTGATGCCTCTTGCTTTATATGAAAAGCTTGCACTCGGTCCACTTAAACCTACACGTATGTGCATTCAGTTGGCTGATCGTTCAGTCAAATATCCCCAAGGGATTATTGAAGACGTGTTGGTTAAAGTGGACAAATTTATTTTTCCAGTAGACTTTGTTATTTTGGACATGGATCAGGATCGGGAAGTACCATTGATTTTGGGCAGACCATTCTTGGCAACTGCCCGTGCACTTATTGATGTTGGAGACGGTAAGCTTGTCCTCCGCGTTGGGGATGAGTCTGCCACCTTTGACATGTCCAAAATAATGAAGAGGCCCTGTCAAGATAGTGGTGAGTGTTTTTACATGGATGTGGTTGATTCTTTGGTGGAGGATTGCATTCCTAACATGCTTTCTGATGAAGCCTTCTTTGATCTTCTTTTGGATGATAGTTTGTCAGCAGAGGATCTTGAGCTCCTCCCTAGTTTTGATTGTCTTATGCTTGATGGGGAGGAGGACTCAAGTGATGCTAGTGATGTGAAGGGGAAGGAAGATGACTTAGATAAGGTAGAAAAGGAAGACTGTCAGACTGATTCTTCTATTGTTACTCCTTCTCCATTAAATCTAAAGCCTCTTCCCTCCCACCTTGAGTATGCGTTTCTAGATGATAGTCCTGACCTCCCTGTTATTCTTGCATCCGGGCTTGAGCCATCCCAAAAATCTGCATGTCTTGACTTACTTTGTGAACAAAGGGAAGCTCTAGCCCGGAAACTTTCTGACATGAAAGGAATCAGTCCTGTTTTCTGCACTCATAAAATTTTGATGGAAGATAATGCTAAACCGGTAGTGCAGCCACAAAGGAGATTGAATCCTAATATGCAGGAGGTGGTCAGGGAGGAAGTCATCCGTCTGTTAGATGTAGGGATTATTTATCCAATTTCAGACAGCCCTTGGGTCAGCCCGACCCAGGTGGTTCCCAAGAAAGGGGGGATGACTGTGGTTAGGAATGAGAAAGATGAGTTGATTGCTACACGTACGGTCACCGGATGGCGGGTTTGCATTGATTACCGAAGGTTGAATGCCGCCACCCGGAAAGACCACTTCCCCCTCCCCTTCATTGATCAGATTTTAGAGAGGCTAGCAGGGCATAAGTTTTACTGTTTCCTTGACGGGATGTCGGGATACTTCCAGATCCCCATAGCCCCCGAGGACCAGGATAAGACCACTTTTACATGTCCATTCGGTACCTTTGCTTATCGGAGGATGGCGTTTGGATTATGTAATGCCCCTGCTACCTTTATGAGATGCATGCTTGCTATTTTTGGGGATTTCATTGGGAAGTTTATGGAGGTTTTTATGGATGATTTTTCGGTGTATGGTGATACTTTTGATGAGTGCTTAGAGAATTTGAAGAAAGTCCTGGTTAGGTGTCGAGAGGTGAATTTGGTACTTAACTGGGAGAAGTGCCACTTCATGGTTAGTGAGGGAGTGGTCCTAGGGCATAAGATTTCAAGTAGGGGGATTGAGGTTGATCCGGCTAAGGTTGATGTGATTTCTAAACTACCTCCCCCTACTTCAGTCCGTGCCATTAGGAGTTTTCTAGGCCACGCAGGTTTTTACCGTAGGTTCATCCAGGACTTTTCTAAGATAGCCCGACCCATGACTAAGCTCCTTGAGAAGGACACACCATTTGACTTCTCAAAGGAGTGTTTAGAGGCTTTTGAGTGTTTGAAGGAGAAACTGGTCAAGGCACCGGTGGTAGTAGCTCCTGACTGGTCTTTGCCTTTTGAGATTATGTGTGATGCTAGTGATTTTGCAGTAGGAGCCGTTCTTGGGCAGCGTCGAGAGAAACATTTTCAGCCTATTTCATATGCTTCAAAGACTCTCGATAGTGCCCAAGAAAACTACACTACCACCGAGAAAGAATTGCTTGCTGTTGTGTTTGCTCTTGACAAGTTTCGTCCTTATTTGATTTTGTCTAAGGTAGTGATATTCACCGATCATTCTGCTCTTAAATATTTGATGCAAAAAGTGGATGCTAAGCCTAGATTGATTCGGTGGATATTACTACTCCAGGAGTTTGATATTGAGATTAGGGATAAGAAAGGGGCTGAGAATTTAGCGGCTGATCACTTGAGTAGGTTAGAAAACCCCTTTCTTGATTCCCTGGGTGAGAGAGATATTGAGGGTACTTTTCCTGATGAGAGACTGTTGAGGATCGTTGATGAGGTGCCTTGGTTTTCTGACATCGCCAACTATCTTGTTGGGGGTGTTGTTCCTTCTGATTATACACCTCATCAACGACGGAAATTTTTTGCTGATTTGAAATATTATTTCTGGGAGGAACCATATTTGTTTCGTATTTGTGCTGATCAGGTTGTTAGAAGATGTGTTCCCCTGAGTGAAGGAGTTGAGATTCTCAAACATTGTCACTCCGGACCGACTGGGGGACACTATTCTTTTAACCGGACAGCTCGTAAGGTGTTGGAATGTGGTTTCTTCTGGCCCACTTTGTTTAAAGATGCTCTAACGTTTGTGCAGGAATGTGACAGGTGTCAACGCACCGGGCCGGTTACCAAGAGGGATGAAATGCCCCAGAATTTTATATTGGCTTGTGAGGTATTTGATGTTTGGGGCATTGACTTCATGGGACCGTTCCCGGGTTCTAAAGGTAATAAATTCATTCTGGTTGCTGTGGATTATGTCTCTAAGTGGGTTGAGGCTGAAGCTCTGCCCACAAATGATGCTAGAGTTGTGATTCGTTTTCTAAAAAAATTGTTTTCTAGGTTTGGAGTGCCACGAGTTTTGATAAGTGACAGGGGTACCCACTTTAGGAATGATCCGATGACTCGCCTTCTGGCAAAGTACGGGGTCACTCATAAAGGGGGCGTCCCTTATCACCCTCAAACTAGTGGCCAAGTTGAGAATTCGAATAGGGACATTAAGACCATTCTTGAGAAGACTGTTGAGACCCATAGGAAGGATTGGTCTGATAAGCTAGATGATGCGCTGTGGGCACTGCGTACAGCGTATAAGACACCCATTGGCACTACTCCATTTCACTTGGTTTATGGGAAGGCGTGCCACCTTCCGGTAGAGATTGAGCATAAGGCATACTGGGCCTTGAAAACACTGAATAAGGATTTGTCTTTGGCGGGTCGTGAACGGCTTTGGAAGCTCAACGAGTTGGATGAGTGGAGGCTTATGGCCTATGAGAACTCTAAAATTAGTAAGGAGCGTACCAAAGCCTATCATGATCGGCACATTAAGCAGGGAAAAGAGTTTTGTAAGGGGGATCAAGTTCTGCTATTCAATCCCCGAATGAAGATTTTTAAAGGAAAATTGAAGTCTAGATGGTCCGGTCCTTTTGTAGTGAGCGAAGTTTTTCCGTATGGAACTGTTGAGATTGATCATCCTGAGAAGGGCCGTTTTAAAGCTAACGGCCATCACCTGAAGAAATACTACGGAGGACCGCTAGAACGCGAGCGTGAGGTGACCTTTGTCACGAATTTAGAGAGATGAGTGCGTAGTTGCGTCGGGCAAACGACGTTAAAAATAGCGCTTCTCGGGAGGCAACCCGAGCTTAATTTGTTTTTGTTTAGTTTAGTTTTGTTGCTTTTCAAAAAAAACCCACAAAACCCAAAAAAAAAAAAAAAAAAAAAAAAAATAATAATAATAATAATTCGATTTTTGCCAGGCACGGTCGTGCCTGGGCAGGCACGATCGTGCCTGCAAAAGGGGAAAACACGCGAGGCCACTGCCAGCCAGGCACGATCGTGTCTGGCTGGAGGCACGATCGTGCCTGCAAAAGGGGAAAACACGCGAGGCCACTGCCAGCCAGGCACGATCGTGTCTGGCTGGAGGCACGATCGTGCCTGGGACGCGAGAGGAGCGTGCCAACTGCCTGCCAGACACGATCGTGTCTGGCCTAGGCACGATCGTGCCTGGGCAATTTTACCTAACTACCCTCGCGAATTAAAAAAATACCCCAGCCCTTCTCCCCCCTTCCCCTTACGCGACCAGAATACCAAACCCCCCCCATCGATCCTTCTTCTTCCTCGAGGCCAACGACCACCCAGCCGCAGCACCGCCGACCCACCACCGCGACCGCCGCGTCCGCCGCGACCGCCGCACCACCGACCGACCTCCCTCGTCCTCTCTACTCTCTTCTCCAAGGTAATCTTCTCCTTCTTCCCTTCTCCTTCTTCCACCATTAATGGTTTGAAGCTTTTAGGTCCTAATTTGCATGTGCTCGAATCTTTGTAATTGTGATTTCTTTTTGATTAATTGAGGCTTGAATTGATGTTATTGATGCTCTTTGTTGATGAATTTGCCTCTTTTGATTGAAATCCCTAATTTTTGAGCTAATTTAGCCAATTTAGGGTTGAAAATTGATGAATGTGAGAAAAATTTGGGGATTTTTTGTGCTTGATGCTTAAATTAAGGAGTGAATTATTGCTTTTGATATTGAAACCTTGTTGTTTAGTCCATTTGAGCATAAATCCCCAATTTTAGGCCAAATTTGAGAATTTTGGGTTCTTCCCCTAATTGTGATCTTTTTGCTAATTCTTTTGGGAGGAACTCCATTCTACAAACACTGTTGTGATGAGTACGCTTTCTTGTGACCTTGTTTATACCGTGTGTCGTTGAAAATTTGAACTTTTATTCAAAAGAACTTTTCTTTGATAAAAATTCAAACTTTTCAACTATTCTGGTTAAACTTGGGTTTGTTCTACTAAGATGATATTTTTGCCTGAGTAAGTGCTGACGGGGCCATTGCTGTACTTTGAAAATTTGTTCTAACATTTCGAAGCCCCGTTGGAATTCTTGTTTTGATTTGTTTTGACAGATGGCACCGAGGCAAAAGCACACTAGGGGTGGAGGTGCCGGCTCTAGCCGAGGCAACACCAGCCGGTACCAGCCCAGGTTCCCGCAACTGCGGGACGAACTGAAGCATACGGAGCTGCTGCAAAAGCCTATGGGCACATTCTACTTTCCGGATGAGGACTCTCTCACGGCAGCAGGAGTGAGAGATGACGTGATGTTCCTTTTGAGACGGGGGTGGTGGAGACACTTATTCTTTGGGATCCGTGATATCACATATAGAGAGATTACTTGCGAGGTGCTAGCGACATTCAAGATGCCGAAGGTCATCCCCATTGATGACAACCATAGGCCCGTCATCAAGTTCCGGGCATTCGAGGAGGATCATGCCATCTCCATGGAGGAGGTGCGCTATCATTTGGGTTTTATGGGGATCGAGGATAACGGCCAGCACGAGGCTACTCTGACAGACTTTCCCCCAGGCGTCGATCGCCAGGCATTCTGGGAGTCGATTACGAGAGATGGCGGGACTTACACACCGAAGAAGTCCCCTAGCACTTTGCTTTACCCCCGCCAGTACCGCATTATACACGCACTCCTTTCCTCCACCATCACCGGCAAGGCCGAGGTTGCCGGTAAGGTCACTCAGACGGACCTCTTCTGCTTATATTGTATGATCCACAACTGCAAGCCCCACATGGGCTATCTCATAGCCAAACTCCTCCACCGTCAAGCCACGAACCACATCAAGGCCATTTATGTTGGCCCATTCATTACGAGACTTTTGACTAGGATGGGGTTCGGGGACCGCTTTCAGAGGATGGAGGAGAGCTCCAGTTTTGCTGCTTTGACCCGGCTCCCCGAGGTCAACACTGGCGTGGCGAGGAGAAGGACACAGCAGGCAGCACCAGCAGGAGGAGGAGGACAGCGAGATGATGATGATGATGACGACGCTGATGATGATGATGAGGTAGAGATGGAGGAGGCTGCTCACGAGGCTTCATACGATGCACCCCCCTACGGCACAGCATTTCCGGATTCTTGGGCGGGGATGCATGCGCATCAAGATGCCGTCTATCGGCAGTTGTCCGCTGAGCAGCATGAGCGGTTCGATCAGATGCGCTTCGAGCAGCAGGACTTCTACAGAGAGATGAGGGAGGACCAGGCACTCCACTATTCACAGCTCCAGTCTCAGTATACACGGATTGATGAGAGACTCACCTCCATGGAGACCAGCTGGAGTTCATTCTTCGATGCCTATCCACCGCCGCCCCCTCCTGAGTTTTAGATTTCATTAGATTGTCCTCTGCTAGCATCTGTATCATTTTTACTGTTGGATGACTGTACCGTAAACACTATCACACTCACACTCTCACTCTTTCACATTAACTCTTTATTGTGTGCTTTGCTTTGTGATCATGATGTGTGCAGCTTAGTAGATGAATGTGTTCGTGCAAATCAAGACCCAGTTCTGATCCTGACTGACCAACGCGATAGGGGAGTTTCCATGCTTCTTTGTACTCAATGCGTAAATGTTAACTTGAGTTATTTTTTGAGCACGCGTGACCCTTTCCTCTTTACCCCTAGTACATAATGCATATTTGGCCATCGAGGGCGATGCCAAAGTTTAAGTGTGGGGGAGTGAATTGGGCATTCGGGCAGTAGTTGTCACATGTGATTTGTTAGAGTTAGCATGCGCAGGTGTTAGTTGTATATTCATAGGAAATTCATGCAAAAATTTTGAAATTTTTTCTTTAAACTGTGTCTTTGTGAGCTGGCTAGCGTTTTGACTATGCTTTTAGAACATCTTTGAAGTGTTTAGGCTTAAATTGCTTTCACTATAATCTAGTTGTTGAAAGGATGAAGGCATTAGTCACCCATTGAATTTTCCATTAATTGTCTACCCCACCTGAAAGAACCCTTTAGGAGAAGCCATTTTTGAGCCTGACCGTTCTTTGTTTACCCAATTAATTTAGCTCCATAGCCAAATGACCTGTTTCCTTACCCGTGAATATTTCTGACTTAGTCTTGATGTGTAGGGAATTAAGGGATTAATTTGCTAAGTTTAGGGAATTTGTGTATGAGCCATTTTTTGGCACTGTTCCTATGCCTCAAACGGGGTAAGAGCAGTCATTTTTTAGGAATATGATACTTTCGAGGATTGCATTGTAGGCATGGATTCACTTTGAAATAAATGAACCTTAATTGCTATTTTTCCTTGGTGAGGCCGAGATTAGAATGGGGTAATGTCTAGTAAGAATCCGAAAGGTGAAAAATTAATATAGCTAGACCTCTTACTTTGCGAAAAAGAGAATGGGAGCCCCGGTCAAAAAGCGTAAGATGAGACTTGGGTATCTTTCGAAAGAAACGGCGTTCTCGTGCCAACATGACAAGGAAAACTAAACTTAATCAATGAACTTGGAGGCTATTGAAAAAAACTAGCTTTAGTCCTCCGCGTACTTCAAGTATACGTCAAAGCACAAAAGTGCCGAGACGGTTTAGCTTAGTTGTACACCATGTCTACTCTTTGCATAGGCGTAAATGATTGTTCCTAATTTGTGGCCTACTGAGTTCCCTATCCCCAAAAATAGCCCTGAAGTTCCTAAATACATTAAGTCTTTGTTAGAATATTCCTATCTCTCAAGATAAAGGGACTACTTTCATTATTACCCATTCACCATCAAATTCACAAGTCCTTCTGATCAGTAGCTAGCTTATTAGTGAATGCTGTCATTACTTTGAGGATGTTGTGAATAATTGTGTCAAATAGTTTAGCCTGAGTACAAGGGTGTAGTTTAGGGAAGAATTTTCTTGATTTAAACTGTCTGTCTTGTGAATATCCCTTTAACTACGTGTGTATGCTAACTATTTTAAATTCCGTGTGGTGATTATCGTAAGTCCCGTTGTTCGATTTGCTTGAGGACAAGCAAAAGCTTAAGTGTGGGGGAGTCTGATAAGTCCGTATTTAGACACGCATTTGATGCGTGTTCGAGTCGGATTTTGATGATTTTCCTGGCTTTAAGGTGATGCAAGTCTCAATTTTGGCTCAAGTTGTGTTTAACAGGCGTTGGATCGAGTTTCATAGCATTTGGAGTTGATTTGAAGAAGTTAGAGTCCGGCAATCGGCGCTTGAGAGGCATTCGGGAAGGGTTTGAAGGCATTCGAGAGAGATTTGGAAGATTTGGAGGCCACCGGGAGATTCACGACGAAATTCTGGTGAAGAAAGAGCATTTGGATCGACCTTGTAGGCATTCGGGAGCATTCGGAACGAGAAACGAAGAAAAACAATGAAGGAAAGAGCAGGCACGTCCGTGCCTAGGCCAGGCACGATCGTGCCTGCCATCTAAATCAACGCGGAGCCACTGGCAGCCAGACACGATCGTGTCCGGTGCAGGCACGATCGTGTCTGCAAAATTTTTACGCGTCCCTTCCGCAGGCACGGTCGCAGGCACGATCGTGCCTGGCACCGTGCCTGACCCCGTTTTGTCCTAATTCAGCTCAAATTCTCCTGTTTTCTATAAATAAGGCCTCCATACCCACTTTTGGGGTTACGAACTTTGGAGAGAGGCCTAGGGACGAGTTTTACCTGCGTTTTTACGTTGTTTAATCCAAGAACCTGGGATTCTTTGTAAGTTCAATTCTTTAATTAATGACAATTATTTCTATTCATCCAAATTCTTTTGATTCGTCAATTATGAGGCGTGAGTAGTTTAATTAGGGATTTGGGGTTGATGAAGGGGTTAATCATGATTGATGGCTAGATTCTTGTCGGTTTAATTGCATGAATGTCGTTTAATTTGTGTTTGAATAATTTAATTGATATCTTTTGTAACCTAGACTGCAGCTAGAATTACAATTGCATGTAGAATGAATTAAGAGAGATCTAATTTGTTCTAGGACACATTCACACACACTTAATCGTTCGCTAAGAGATTAGTAGCGATTAAGGGGCCGTAAGCTCGCTTGTCTTGGCAATAATTTGGGATCCTGTCGCATGAGAGATCAGCCTGGTCCCCTAAATTATTGTACTCTACGCCGCGAGAGCGGTAAGAACTTAGTAATGATTAGCTAGGCTCAATTAAATTAAATTCATGTGATTAGGCCTGTTCTGCCAGAAATCTGGTTAACCCCGGAATCAATTCCTGTTCCCTTCGTCGTTAATTAAGGAAAACCAAATCTTTTTATTCGTTCATTAGTATTAGTTTTAGTTTAATCAATCCATCAATCTCGCACAATTGCACTTTTATTTTATTTATTTCTTTTTAATCGCTAAAGTTTAATTAATCTTTAATTCCCTTTTGTCCGTCCCTGTGGAGACGATACTCGTACTTTCAACCACTTTACTACATCCTTTTTAAGTGCGAGAAAACACGCATCAGCCGTGCTCATAGAATTGCATTGGGTAGACATGATGAGGTGATTGTAGTGCTTAGGAATTGGGGTCTATGCCAATGTAAGGAGATGTACTTGAGCCGTGCTCATAGAATTGCATTGGGTAGACATGATGAGATGATTGTTGTGCATGGTGATGTAGTCGAGTTGGACTCGAGAATGCAAACATATGTGTTAGGGTTGAACCCTATGTATTGTTGTGACTAGGGGTCACGGGATTTTGGGGTATGTTTGATGAACAAACCTTGGGCCTATGGGCCGACTACTTGACTTTATATATGAAGTAAGTATATTTTTAAAAAGGGGTAACTTGGGGTTACGGCCTATATTATACTATCACCCTATTTGAGGGTCTTGTGTTTGAAATACTTGTTGTATATCTATTAGATGCCATCCACACCAGCACTTTATAGCCCTATAGAGTGCTGACCCCTTCGGGGGCGTCCCACCACCATTTTTCAGGTTGAGGCTAGAGCTTGCTTCCTGTGCTCGTTGCTCGAGAGATCATCTAGGAGCGAAGACTTGGTTCGTGCTTCCTCCATTCGGGTTTTAAACATTAATAAACATGCTCATGGATATTTTACTATAGAGCCTGCGTGCTCATGAATAGCTCGGTGTGGCCTTTTGTTTTAAACAATGTTTTCCGCTGCGTTATGAATTACTTATTATGTTTTGTTTATGGATGTATATGTGTGAATGATATTCAAGACGCCTTGTATATTATGAATGTGTTGAACTGCGGTTGACTATTCATATTGTACGGCGGGTTGTTGACGTGTCCGGATAGGTCCGGGGCGTGACAATTAAGTTGGTATCAGAGCCTTAGTCCATAAACTTCATAATGAAGTCTCAAAATTCTCTTTTCAAAAGGATTTTTTGAAAACCATGAGCAAAAACGTTTTGTACTTAAGAACTTTTGGTGTTTGAGTTGCAAGGTCTCTAATTGTTAAGATGGCGCCCTTAACGATTGGTATGGCGGTGACTTGGCCCAAGAGATGTCTTAAGTGCCTATCTGTCAGTTGACATTTGAAACGAGTCTAATGACTCATTCTAATTATTTCTTTCAGCGATGGAGGGTGATGGTGGTATTATGAATAGGGAGAACTCGGAAGGGCTTGCACCGGGTGGAACCGGGCATGCCAACCGAGAAAAGCCCTTAGGACCAAAGGTGCATGAAATTCTTGAAGCTCAAATCGTGAGTGGTGGTCATGTTAAGACCAAGGAAGAATCACCTTGTTATGGCAAAACTGAACCACTCAAGGCTTCGGGTGACGAAGGAGACGATTTGAGTGATGAGGACCTTGGTAATGCACCCATTGAACAAATGGGCATGGTCATAAATTGGCTTCAACGTGAACGTGCTAGGCTTATACAAAAACGCCAAGCTAGGCAAGCTAAGGACTCACCATTAGGAAGGAAAAGAAAATGGGGAGACCACGACCCCCAAGGACATTCTAGGAGGACAAATGTTGAGGGTGACAAAACCTTCGGGGCACACACAGTATCGCTTGGGAGGAATCGAGGCTCGGGTGGCCAGAGCTCGAGGTCAAAAGGTTCGAGAGTACCTAAGTGCACAAATTGTAAGAAGCACCACCCGGGTAAGTGTTGGGACCCTCCTAGGTGCTACCGATGCAGAGAGATCGGGCACACGAATGCGAATTGCCCACAACTTGTACCCGACCAAACTTTGGGCTCAAGTAGTACGACTATAGGCATACGGAGTCAAGCCGGGGCCTCTCAAGCAAGTAAGGAACATGGCGGAGCAAGTGTGAGCAACGCGCCGTCTGTGAATCAAGGGAGGACTCACGCTAGAGTCCATGCGATGGCGGAGGCGGATGCTCAGGCTAACCCGGATTCCGTTGCAGGTATCGCCTCTCGTATACTAGTGTTTTATCCTTAATTAGTCCATAAATTGAGGTCACTAATTGTTAGGATCAATGCACGAAGCTTTAGGGTCGAACCAGGAAGA